GGTGCCTGCAGAGCATCCCAGCCCTGCAGCCATGACGTGGCCAGTGTCCAGACATTGTATGCAGAGATGAGAAGCTGCTGAGCATGATATATGGCTCCTTGAAATTTCAGTATGTTCTCAGGAAAGTTAAAGTACGTTTTATTTTACTGACAGTGAGCCCCCTTAAGGATCTTACACCTTCACAGAGGTCCAGTGTGGCCTTTCTGTGTTTTGCTGCTTTCCACCTAAACTGGATTTTGGTCCTTAGCATAAGAGTAGCTCCTGCACACTGGGTTTAGTATTGGCAAGCAGTACAGGGAACCTCAGTTCATTGCGCTATAAGTATGTCACAAGTGCCACAGGGATGTTGAGACATAACTTGGAAACAAGCTCCTTGGAAAATACTATTTCCAAGCATATGAAAAGAAGGGTCAAATACAGGAATATTATATATTTATATATATGTATATATATATATATATATACAGCTATAAAGAACAAACTGATCCTTTTAATTAGATTATACAGAAATCCTCAAAGAATAGTAAAATTTTTACTGTGACTTATCTCTTTTCTTTTCCCCCTTAGGGTTTGCTAGATTATGTGCTGATCCCATTACTTTGTGTTTCTAATAATAGATGTAGGAAGTAGGAGAAATGATAACGGTACCACTGTTGCAGGAAGGCTACCTCCTTCACAGTATAACCCGCCCTCACCACCACCCCCACCAGCAGCTGCGCTTCAGCTGGAAGACATGGTAAGCGTGTAGCTGGAACAGAACTGTATTTGCTTGTGACAAAAATGAAATTCCTTGGCTGGAGCTTTTTAAAAATAAGTGCCATAGCCCATTAATTGAAGGAACTTGAAGATAGCCTAAGTGTAAAAAGAAACCTATGGGTATATTCGGACCGGACTGTGTAAATGAAGTAACTGGGGTGCAGCTGTTGTGATTTGCTATGCTTTCATTTAGTTCTGGTTTTTATTTTACTGAAAATATATTAAACTAATGAAGACAAAGTCACTATAATAAGCAGAATTTGCTCTCTGTGGTTCTTTCTGGAAAAAAAGCTGTTAAGAGGTTTTTTCAAAAAACATGAGCTTAATATAATTTGAAAAGAAGAAAAGCTAGCTTGACTTGAAGCTTCTTTTTTAAGAGTGTAACATATATAGATACTGAGGGAATTCAGCTTATTGTCCTATTATATCAGCTTAGCCAGATCATTATCCAGTATCTTGGATGTTCTGGACCTGCCCTGGAGTCATCCTGAAGATGTTGCCACTGTAAAACAATTGCACGCTAGATACAGGTTAGAACAGAGAAGATGTGCTTGCCTCTCTCCTGATTTTTCATTCTAGTAGCATCAAATGTTATTCACACTGTTCCTACAATTTCTAGACCAGTATTAAAAAAAAAAACAAACAAACAAAAAAAAGCAAACAAAAAAAACCCACCAAACAGTAAAACTAGAGATAAAATATATGCAAAGAAGTTAAATTTAGAAAGGTAACTGCAACAGTCAAAAAACTGACTGTCTAAAGAGTGAAAATGTGTTTTCTAGAAAGTTATACTCATTCTTTGTAAACTCTCATTTCATTTACAGTTTTCTACCCACCTGGGTCATGCAAGCACTTCTCAGACCAGGCTAGACTCTGATTCTCCAGGAATCGTCGCTAGCACAGCTGCAGGATCTGGTGTGGTGTCAAGTCAAAAACTGGTAACATGCTAAAATTAACTTTTTAAATTTTTGAGGTATAATTATAACAAATACGAGTTTGGGTGTCATTATTTCTGCATTTTTCAGAGCAACACAAGTATGTAGTTGAGGAAACTGCCATAGGGTTTACATAGCTGTGTGAAGACACTAGCTTACAAATGCTTATTAATGTTACAGAAACCCATTTACATTAGGAGAAATTTTAAATTATTTTTGGAGGGGGAAGTGTGATAAAATGAAGAACAGAAGAGTACAAGTACACTTACAGTTGGTGTTTCACATAATACCATTTTGTTACGGAAAGAATATGCTTCGCTTTAACATCCTGCTGTTTGAGAAGTCTCTCTCATTCCCTGTCCTTTTTACTTTTCTCCACTATTTTCTGCATTTGCTCTCCTTTGTTTTTGGCATCTAATACAGTTTGCTGCTAGCTGTCAGAGGAAAGTACGGCGTTTTATAGCATGGAAGCTTTTTTTTGTATCTGCTATGTCACTGTTAGAAAGACTTTCCAGGGTGTTGGAAGTGACTGCAGCTGTCACTCCAGTATGCAACCGGTGAGCAAAGCTAGACTATTCATGCTGCTTGATTTTTTTTGTCAAATTAGCCTTACTCCCCTCAGGATAGAAGTCACTTGCTTATCTCATACTTAGCATGGAAAAAGATGGAATAAACCAGGTTGCAATTAGGTGGAGCAAATTCAGTCCTGTATAACATAACTAGATTACCTGCAACATCCCATGTTCCATTTAGGCACATTGCTGATAAAATTAAGCAGACATACTAGAGCATTATAAATACTAAGTTCAGAATTTTTTACCAACTAATACTTAATTTATTTGTAGCCCATGGCAAAAGTAATAACATCTGCTCAACAAAAAGCAGGAAGAACAATCACTGCTCGAATCACAGGCCGAGCTGATATGGCACAAAAAGCCAGAATTTGTGGTAGTTTGGCAGTGATGGGAGTCGTTCCACCCATGAGTTCAGTCATTGTTGAAAAACATCATCCAGTCACTCAGGTAAGTCAGAATTATGCTTTTAACAGTATTCTTATTACAACACATCTGGTAGTAGTTTAAAGAAAAATGACCATCATGAAGAGGTAATAGACAGGGTTCAGACTTGAGGCCCATTTAAAATAACAAACAACAGTGCCTTTGGGCTGGTTAGGAGGCACTGGTGGGGAGAGGAAGTAAATATTGCCACTTGAATCTGTCTTCTTTCTGTAGTAATTATTTCACAAGTAGAGTAGTCTTGCCTGTCTCTTTCTGGGCCAGCTCTTCTATGAGTCTTCCTCTTCATAGAAGTGGTTAGTTGGTACACCAATGTTGGGTGTCATCACCACGGAACCACAGTTTAAAGACAAGTTTCATGGTATATAGCAAGAAAAGTGACTGAACCAGAGGTGGTAGAGATACAGGTTAGCCTGACAGGTTGAGTGTAGCAAATTATTGGAGGGAAAAAAGTAAAACCCTTGTTTGAAGGCAATCAAATTTGTCAAGCCTGCTGCTTATTGTATTTTGGGTCCTACTCCTTCCATTTATGCTGCAGAAAACACTGAAATAATTAATAATTATTAGGGTGTGAAAGCAACATACAAGACAACTATAAACAGCGGCCTAAATGTCCTGGGTGATCACTACGCTATTAGACCAATCTGAGCAAAAAATGGTTTCAACTGGAGGTCTATGAAGCACCTGAAGATGGGGGTTTTTTTATATTTTAACCTGTAAAGTAGGATCTGAGTTTTCTCTGAGCTATCTGAAAGTCCAGTTTCTCTTCAGCAATGCTGCCAGAACAAGCAGTGCTACATCATGTCATTTAATTTGAGCTGGAGTTACTAGTAACAGTCTGTGTGAGGGATGTTCTGCTTTCACTCATTTCCTGTGGTGAATCAGAGCCCTGTGGCAGGCTGCACATAGCTTTCAAGAATTTGGGGTCCTAAGCAGAAATTTGTAGTTAAATTGTATGTCCTGAGGGGGTTAGAGGTTTGGTGTGAGGCTTCTTTCATTTAGGACTATTTCTGGATGCAGACTGTGTGACTAGGGTGGCAAGTAAAGACCTGAACTACTGTACCTAAAAATTACTTCTGAAAATGTAAAAATGTAACAGTCCCAGAGATATATTTCATATATTCTTTCTGCAAATAAATGCCTAAGTGAAAGTCAGTCAGATTGAAGAATTTCTCTTGAATTAATCTGACAGGGGAGAGAGTTTACCTTTAAAAGCAGAGTGACTACTGTTCATTGCAGTAAGGTGGCTAGTTTTTTGGGGAGAAATTTTTTGTCAGATAAATGCAAACCTTTTCCTTTCACAGACCAGAGCCCTTTCAGAGACTTCATCATAGCAAATACTGAACTTCAAAAGGAAAGTTTGCATGATTGAATTAGTACTGCAGAGGAAAATTCTAAACAATTTGGTAAAAACAAACAAACCAACTTTGAAATAAGATTGAGCTGATAAAACCTTAGGGTGGTACCTAGTTAACTGGAGAATTAGCACTTTGTGTGCTCAAAGTATATTACAGATAAGGAAGGAAAAAATAAATTCATTCTATTAAAGTAACACTTTTTTTTTTTTTGAAAAGTGTATTTCAGTTTGCTGGATTGCAAATATTTCTGTTTAAACTACAGCACACACAGATCAATTTTAATGGGAATTTTTTTGTACTGTGAAGTGTTTTGATGTATCTGATTACTTTTCAGCAAACCATATCCCAAGCCACTGCTGCTAAATATCCTCGAACTGTGCTCCATTCTTCTGGCTCTACCACTGTGAGACCTGCAGGACAAGTTGGGCGAATGCTTCAGGGCCAACCTCATACCAGTGTTCAGTCAATAAAAGTTGTTGACTGAGTGAATATCTTTCTCACCTATGGCGGTTTTTATCAAGGTACAATCTAAACCTCTTCTTCCAGGATGTAAAGTATGTATCATGTTTTTACCCTTTTCTAAAAAAATTTTTTTTAAAGTAGAAGTGCTTTTATACTGAACATCTGGAGGGGATAAAAAGAACTTGAAATGTTGTTCTACCTCCAAACTATTTGAAAACTTATTTTATTAAGATAAACACTTTTTATTTAAGGAATCTTTTGCACACTTTTAAATAAAGGATAGAATGTGATTTTGTCTGAATCTCTTTGTTTAGTCCCAATGTTACTAGCATCTACTTTCAAGTGAAAATTAAATTTATTTTTGTTCTATATGCTTTTAGTTGCTTGTGCAACTAAGTGTAGTTGACATGCATTTTAATTATATCCTACAACAGCATACTTAAATGAAGAACATCAGTGGTATCCTTTACCCCCCTCAGGGTGTGACTTGGGCCAGATGAGATACAAGTCCATCAAATTGTTAAACATTCTCATTTTTTGAACTACTGTTGTAGAACTTGATGCATACCTGTCAGGATCTAAGAATTTGTGATCTTAGATCCCTAAGTACAAAACCTGAGGATTTACCAGTCTGTTCTTCACACCCCTGTGATGCTCTGCAGCCATGTCTAAACAGGTTGCACACAAGATGGCAGTTGAGCATAAGGCTTCGGTCTAAGATCCGTATCATCATCTTTTTAGTACAAGCAATAAGATCCAATATAAATAATGATAGCTATATAGAGACAGACAAGGCAATTCAATTCTTCCATTACATAATAAAAATATTGCTATTTTATTATAGAGACTACAAAGATAGACATTTTACATAATTTGTCAGATATGAAATATATTCAGTAATGAGAAAACCTTTAAACAAGTTCAGCAAGATGCTACCAAATATTAATTTGAGACATGAACAAGAAATAGGCAAATAATTCCTAGATGTGTTAAATATTAAATATCAAATGTTCTTTTATATGTGTACAAGGTTATACCATGGTAGAAAATTCTGCAGCCAAGCATATATGGCTTTAGATGTGATGTTTTTGTGTATGCTCACTACATAAATCAAATGCTGAAGAAGAAAGACTTGTCCTAATCCTAGCACTAATTAAATGAGAAAAGCTCTGTCCATACAGGAACACTATAATCCTAGCAAGACTTTATAAAAACCTGAATCCCAAATGAGGCCAAGTGCCAACCTATTTCTGGGAGGTTTGATTTATACACATAATTTTCACTTACTAAATTTAATTGCTTTCATGTAGAAAACATCTTATTTACAATTCATGTCAAACAAAATAGCTTAATTTGCAGTTCCAATACATAATTAGTGTATCAGTGTTAAGCCAGGTGTAGAAATTGTAGGGGGATGGTTCTTGCTTAGCAGTACAGTCATAAATTGCCAGCCAGCCATTCACTCTTAAATTCTTTAAATCAGTGTGTAGCGTGCACATGAGAAAGAACGGACCAATACTTCGGGAGTCCAAATTCTTATAGCTTGGAAAAAGTCATACAACTTCAAAATAGGTTTTTGTCTCCAGAAAAGATATTATTTGAAAGTCAGTTTTCATCTGGCATGTAATTCCATCACACATGCCATGTTTTATTGTTGAACTCATGAAATTGCACATTTTCTGGAGTCCACGTCAGTGCTACTTGCAGCTCTGATCTTCTCTGTAAAGTAAGGAGAAAATGTTTGCTTGACATGCTCTTCTTTTTACAGGGTCAGAATAATCTAACTGAGGGATGGCCAATCCCATTTCAGCCATGTTCGCAGGGCAAAGGAAGGAAGCAAATTTTACACATTAACACCTTTTAGAAATCTCAAGTCTCACTTAAATGTTCTTTCTCAAGCAACCTCACCCCCCAGCAACGGCGGAGTCCCAGAAAGGAAAGTTGTCCTTCAGCTCTGCCACAGTCACACCTTCCCAGCACCTGCAGGGACCTCAGCACCCCTCCGCAGTCTCACAAAGGACACAGTAACGGGCTCTGTAACAACTTACCAGCTAAAGGCTGAAACCCTGCTTCCACCAGATCCTCATATATATGCTTGATAGGATTCTGATGAGCCAGCAATATACCATGTAACCAGATGAGCAACATTCTGTTTCCATGTTCTTTATAACTTTTTTTCCCTATGCAATACACAAAGATTTGTCTGTTCCATGTGCTGGAAGCAGTGTATTTTGTGCTTTTGCACTTAGAGTTCTAAGAGGTTTTAAAACATACTCATTCTATTTTCTTTCTCACCTAGAAGCAAAATGAAGACTGAGGCTTACAAAAGTTTTAAAAATGAACCAACCAACCAGCCAAAAATTCTAGTTTTATCCTAAAGCTACTATAAGGGGAAAAAAAAAAAAAAAAAAAGCTAATACATCTTAAAATTAATTTACCCTTTAATTTTTCCTCAACATGTGGAAATATACCCTGGAGTTGTAATAAGCAAATACAATATGTGCTATGGAAGTACTACTTTCCCAGTACTTGAAATGCCTGAAACCAGAAACTGCTGTTTCATGGCAGCTGTGAAGATGGAGCATGACCAAGGTCTTACTGTGTCATGAGGTTCCCCAGGTCCTCACTTGCAGTGTGACTTGCAAGACCCTTCCATGCTCCTGCTTCTGTTTTTGATTTCCAAAGAAGGCCAAGAGAGAGAACAGAAGTTACCTATACTTCTACGGGACTGCTTCCCAGAAACTAGGGATAACATTTGTATCCATTCACTGCTCTTTTCCACATTTTGAATAAGAGCAGTATGGCCGGTGTACATCTGTGATACATAATTTTAAAAGCAAATCTGCCTTGTTTTTATAGCTTATGTATTATGTCTAGATATCCAGATATTGTTACCTGTCCATTGTTCTTCAATAGCTTTAATTTGTTCTTCTGTGAACTTCAGGAATAAGGCCAGTTTTTTCCATTCCTGGGGTTTTAACTGGTTGTATGCTAGATTCCAAAGGGAGGAACGGATTTGCTTGGTCTGTGTACTGTGATCTTGTTTGAAGGACAAGCTGAAGTCTAACCCATCCTCACTATGAGCTAGATGTTCCTGAAAAAGAAAGCAGATGGTAAATTTTGTCATGAAGCTGGGAGCCCTTGCTTAGCAAGCAGTGAACACTGTCCTGGACAGCCATATGTAGCGACTGATAGGTGCTTTGCTCCGTGCAGGTAAAGGAACTGTGTGAGGCTAGCGGAGCTCTTTGGAAGAAGTCTTTGCATGGATGATGTTATTACAGTCTTAGAACAGAAATTAAGCCCTCCTGTGTCTGTTGCTATGTCTTAATTTAAATACAAAATGAACCATTTTCTTTCTCTGGTGCTTGATAAACAATAGCAAGTAACAGCAAGTAGTATGCCAGCAGTGCTGTGTTCCTTGGCTCTGTCTACTGTATATGTCACATTTTTAACATGGTTGGGTTTCAACCACGGTTCTTATTCTTTTCTCACGCTTCTCAAATTGCTAACTTCTCCCTGAGAAGAGTCTAGGCACCATCAGCAGGGCACTTGTTCAAGCTGTTCTCACGTCTGCCCTGTCAGCTCTGCTTGGCTGAAGCAGGGACTACCAGGTCATTTGATGGCAGCATGAGCCACTGGGTTTAGCACTCAGAGCCCCATTCAGCAAAGTGTCTGAGCACCAATAAGCACATGCATGTTGAACCTGGATCTAGTTTTATTGCTTGCACAAGCAAAATCAGACAGAAACCAAAACCACAAGTATTTTGCCCTCCAGATTAGAAGTGACCTTGCTGCTGTATGCATGGATCACCTGACATAGGAGTGATGGCATTGCTTCTTGTTTGGGCACCTCTGCAAAAGCCATATCTAGCGGTGATTTCAGCCCTAGCTGAGCAGTGACCAGGGAAGAGCCCCATTCCTAGTGTATGTAAGCTCCAACTGCTTTTATATTTAAATCTGTTTATGTGCTAGGCCTGTGTCAAATCCATCTCTAAAGCAAAAAATGTCTTCAGGAAGTTGATACAGGATTACAAAGCGGATACTAAACAAAAAAGGAGATGTCAGCATGCCACATTTTAAAAGTGCTAAGCATAAAGTAATCCGTTCCAGATTAAATTCAGAAAAATACAACAGGGTTATTTCCTAATCTTATGCAAGTCATGCAAGAAAAAAAAAAAAAAAAAAAAAAAAAAAAAAAAACAACACCCAAAACTTAGTTCAGTAACTAAGCACTGTCATGTATGTCTGATTCTGTTTTTCTGTTGCAGACTTTATTTCATGTTTCCTGATACAAGGTGAGGTTTATTCTACAGGACAGCTTCAGGCTCTCCCCAGTTCAGTGTTTCTCTTTTGAGGTTCAAAGAAGCCAAAACAAAATAAAACAAACAAACAACAACAAAAAAAAAACACCAAAAAACCCACAAGCAAACAAACAAAAAGAAAAAAAAAACTTTTTTCTCCTCCCTTTGCAGCAGGACAGCTTCTCTTTGCTAATTGTGTGTCTAGGAAATGGTGGGGTGGGACAGTAAGAGTAGCCCTCCAATCCAGTCAAAACCAGCCTGGGCAGTGATAGGGAAGGGTTGGGTAGAAGCAGTAAATAGAAAAAGGAGCAAATGGAGAGAACAAGGAGGCACGCTGACACACAGAGTCGTGTGCACTTCCTCACAGCAACATGACATTTCCTTTTGTAGCTAATGCCTTGTCATGGATGATAAGTTAGGTCAATGTAACAAAATGACAGTTCTTACTATTATGGTTCAAAACACTGTAGTTTCATCTATGGTAACACCACCTGAACAACATCATATACCATAACTGTAAGATCTAAACTGCTCCCAAAGACTGTGCTCTTAGCTTCACGTAATGGGATACAAACACTTCTGTTTCCCAACATCTGTGCAACTCATGCAAAAAAAACTGCTTAAACAACTTTTCTTCTCCTCAGGCAAATCAATAAACAATGCCAAGAGGTTAGGAGCGTTCCAGGCTCACTGCTGTCAGACTTTTCATGTCTTCTCTGGCAACGGATGACTTCACTTCTAATTCCCCTTTAAGCCAAAAGAACAATAACGTGCCTGACAACTCCAGCTGAACTAATGCAGATCAGATATTCATAACACAGGGAATTTGTGGAGGTGTTTCTCATGATAATTAATCTAGATCTGTGATTCACCAGCACAATGCCCTGTAACATTTTCATGGATTTGGACATGGAGCGCTGGAGTGGGTTGGTAAAACTGGCTAACTCATGTGCCCGCACTTGAGCAGGATCAGTATGCTTATCAGTGGCCCTGGGAGGCACCTGCCTAACCTGGTAAAACAAAGACTCCCTAGCAGGAAGCAGGAATGAGGGTGAACTTACAGATTTGTGTGGCAGCTCAGCAATGAGAGCACAAGAATTGACAGTCAAGTGAATTCCTTTCACCAGTCCTTTTGCCCCGGTTTGCTGCCTCTGGTGCTCACAAAATTACTTGCTCTACATAAATAGTGTTAGCATCTTCCTTCTTGCAGGTTTTATGGTGGATGCTACAAGAGATGTCTTTTACTGCCTCACTAGGACCAGTCTGCAAATAAATAGTGTATTTGAGAGAGCTTGGGGATTTTAAACTGCACTGTGTCAAAACAGCAAATTTAATCAATTCTCAGCAAGCCCACATAAACCTTTGGTTCCAAACAAGAAAAACTGAGCGAGCCAATACATGACTGATGTATGCCCTAAAATGAACCTTCGCCATCCTATGAAACAGCTCCCTTTCATTGGGTGTGCGGGTATAGCAGGTTCTTTGTAGCTCATTACTACAACTGTCATAGACAAAATAAATAAACTTCCTCAGAATTCTAAATGGTCCCAGTTAAGACCCCATGACATGAGACATCCTGAATTTTCAAGACCCATTTGGTCTGGATGTGAGTTCCAAGGCGTATCTCTAGAATGGGCCTCACCAGCAGCCCAGCTCCAAATACTACTTTGACTTTAAGAGGTACTAAGCTTAGCTTTTCTTGTTCAGACACTTCCAACCTATAGAGCGTGTAGAGATTCATATGTGGCGTGGGATAGTCAACACAGGCTAAAATAATTGTCATCTACACTTTAATACGTCTGACTCTCAGCCCGTTAGGGAGGTCCATCACTAAGCAGTCTATGTTTAAATAAACAGCTAGGGAAAGAAGGTTAGAAATTCAGACAATCTGAGGTCAATCTAAGCTGTGTCCTTCACACTTGTTTCCTGTTTCTTTCCCATTCCATTGATTGCGCTTTATAATTAACACACATAAAACAGAAGAGGGAGCTCCTGCCAAAGCATCTCATATCTTACTAGCAAGGGAGTGACAGTCACTTGCTCTTCTCCATTTTTCAACCACAGATTTTGCTGTACTAAAGGACACAGAGATCAATGTGGATTCAGGTCATCCCAGCCCTGGTGCTAATGACACAGTCTGAATTTGGGTCAGAATTTCTCTTCATCACTTTATCTCTTTGTGTAGAACAGGATGTGAAAAAACAGTAAGATCTGCCTACAGCTTTACAACAAGTCAAGAACAGAACCTGGATGAGATAGAGACCTTGCCTTTCCCAGTCCTAACCTCAAATTTATCAAGGCCAGTCTTGCAACCTGCCAAAAGCAACCACCTCCGTCAAAAGACACTTCAAGATCAGAATCTGCTTTTCATTTATAGTTTTCCTCAGTGTAATGAAAGCTGTCTCTTACCTGTTTTGTGGCATAATACCTTTCCGCTTTAATGATCATATCTACAATGAGGGCATGATTACTCCTTGATGCCACAGCTAGTGCAGTTTTTCCATGCTGAAAGCAGAGATAGTGAATCAGAACATTATCTCATATGTACAAGCATAAGTATATCACAGAAGAAACACAGGAGCTATGTTTACAGACCCCCATCTCTTTTTTTCAAGAAAATGTATTACTACAATTTTATGGCTTCAGGACATCTACAATCAAAGTTCTATGCTTTGCATGTGCTGTATCCCTGCAGCCCAGGGGCAGTTAATTTTTTCCTGCACTGAACTCCCCCTAAAGAATTTCTGGTGAGGTACAGCTGCTTTCAGAAACCTCCTGGGCTCAGACTGCTGCGTACTTCACAACAGCTTGCACTCTCCCATCACTGCTTCCAAGTTCATGCAAGCTCAGGCATCCACAGGCTGAAAACTACCACAAATACAGCCCGCTCACAGGTTATGGTTAAACTGGCGTTTCAGATGGATAGGCTGGCAAAGTTGGAAACCTCCAGCTTCGAGGCCAAGACTGTGTCTTGTTTTGGATGGTAAGAGAAACTGGCTCACAGAATTAAAAGAGGGTGTGGGAATGACTTTGTCATGACAATTCAAGTGAGCACAATTGAAGGTGGTGTTTCAGGGGTAGTACAGGCAGACAAATGAATTAAAAGTCATTGCTTTAATCCCAGATACAGTGGGCTGCTCAGTCTAACTGAACCCATCTCTGCTATCAGCACTTCAATGTAAGGGCATCTCAGTGGCTCTACAGGGTTCTCTGCAATTGTTCAGTTCTCTGTCTAATTGTCTATTTTCAGCAGTTTTGCACTGAGTGGAACTGCCTCAAATTTAAATATTCAGGCTATTCTCCATATATCAAGTGCTAGGCATTCTAGAAAATTAGTCCTAAGAGAAGCCAACTCCTTAATTAGAAGGTCCAGACATTAAATTATCAGGTGTTTCAACTCTCCAGCTATTATAAAGTTCCCTAATGTATACATTTTGAGTTCTAGCTCCTGGCTCTGCTCAAAATCATTCTAATTAGCCTGGTTTTAGAAAAGCATCACATTGGAAGCCAAGGAATTTACATTTCATAAAGTCTTTATAGCATAGACATACTTTATGTGTGAGAAGTCCAGAGACCACAAGAGCTCCTTGTGTCCCATCTCTGGAAAAGTGCTCTGCATTTCGCAGGGAGGAGGAAGGGATGAGAAAAGGGGGTGTTTCTGGCCTCCTGTGCTAGTGCAGACATTGCTGGTGTCCCGCTGACGCATGTAGCACAACAGTCTTGCACACAGGAAGTGCTCTGCCCTGCTGGTCACAACCAATGACAATTATATCTGCAGATGGGAGGAAGGAAGAGTTCCCTAGAGACCATTTCCTGAGCTGTAACAGCTTGCAACTTGTTCAGATGCATAACATGCTCTGGAGACTGAGGACTCTTGCTGCAGGGACACAGAGGCCAGGAAAACACTCTGCAATCGAAACAGGGTCACCTTTTTCCTGCCTGCTCTTCGGTAGGTCAGGAACATTTTTGTCATGTCAGCACCAATTCAGTTCAAAGAGGGTTGTACTTGTGAATGTTCCCAGCAGTGGCATGGCCTCAGGGGTCATCCAGCAAAGAAGCAAGGGAAAAGCTACTCTAAGAAATAAAACCAATCCAGAAAGGTGGCAGAACTTACGCTGGCTCAATGCCATATTCTCATAACATGCGCTGAACTATGCCAGCACTCCTGTAAGACCAGGGCACTACCCAGCCCAAAGGCTTGCAGGTGCTTAAGGTCAAAACAGACAATTCTCTGTGCCTGGCCTTGGAATACAAATAGGTAGAGACAATTTTCCAATGGCTAAGGTGCTGTCTAAAGTAGACATGATTCCATTCTGGGTTAGCCCATATGAGAACTGCAGCTTTCTGGCTAGTATGCATGACTCAATGGGAAGGCTTAACTGCAATGCAGCATCTTACCTCAGCCTCCCAAAACACATCAGCCATGTCACCTGCACTCAGAGCCCTGACCTTTATGTCATGCTAGGGAAAAAAGAGATGATCCTAGTCCATCAGGCTTTACTCCTTAACAGGACAGTTTTGTGCATGAAAATGACTTTTTAAAAATTACTAAAGAGCTAGATTTTGCTCATGATAAATATCAAATCCATCAATTCAGTCATACATAAAATCAATATAGTGGTAACAGTATAAAAAAACAGAAGCTCAATCTTGCAAAATTTAGCAAAATTTGTAAAAACTGGATTTGGTACACTCTTATTTCAAAAGCATTTCCCCAGAGACTCTGCTTTGATACTTCTTCCAGCCATTGCCATTCTTGCCTCAATATTTACAGGTTGAACATCAGCAACAGGGTTTAAGCACCCACCTGAATGGATATGGGATGGCTTCTTGGGGACATGGCACCATCATTTCAGATGGCCCCAAGTGCTAAAGGGCAAACTCACCATCACTGCAATTAGTGAAGTTGGCAGTACCTGTGCATCTCCAGGCAATGAGCCTCTGCAGGTGCACGGTTACAACAGCCACTGGCCATGTTCCACTCTGCAAGCCTAGTCCTTTTTTTTCCATCAGAGGTCTTTGGCAGCCTGGTTTACCCGTCAACCTACAGAGCTTGGAAGTTTTACAGCTCTTCACTAAAACCATTTCAGGTCTCTGCAAGCTGCAGGTATGGCAATATTAAAAGGAGACTTCCTTTGTAACAACTAACAGTTAACTTCACCTAAGAAAAACAACTGGCAACAAGTACTTCCTGCATCTCTGCGAAGAGGGTTATAAAACAGAAAATAAAATCACATAATTCTTGCATATGTGAGGAATGCAATCTACCTTATCCATGGTCTTGAGATTGCAGCCTGTCTTGAGCAGCACTTCCACCATCTCCACGTTGCCAAGATCAGCTGCCAGATGTAGAGGGGTTTCTTGCCTCTGGAATTAATGACACCAAATAAATAAGCCAAACTCTTTCTTAGCAGCAGAATGCTCACATCCTGAATCTCAAGAAGATTCACAAGAGACAGCCTTGGCAAGAAAACACTGTACAGAATGAAATCATTTAACTTTTGAGTGATCTACCTGCCAGTTTTGTTTCAAGCAAACAAGAGCATCTGGGATCTCCACAGGAAAACCAGGCAGGAGTTCCAGCTGGCTCGGGAAGAAGTTGCTGTCATGCCCCTCTAATGTACTGTAACCTAATGAGCTCTCTCTCTTCCCTCTTAAAACAAGGTGTTTTGGACAGAGTGCTTCGTGCAACTGCCAATCCCCACCCATACTATCCTCTTGACTATCATTTTCCCTGCTGAAATTTATGCAGAGACAACTGGACATCCATAATTTTCAACAGTACATTGTGTTACGTCCACAACAGGGTTTGTTATCCAGCCCTGCCACAAAACAATGATATGTAGAAGTCTACTTGCTCCAGAATGGGTTCAGTGAACCTTAAACCACACACACACACACCAAAAAAAAAAAAAAAAAAAAAAAGAGGGGAAAAAACAAACAAACAAACACAACCAAAACATTAAACAAAATCAAACTATTAACAAGAAGTATAGCTAAAGGGGCATTCAGCTTCAAGTCTAATCTTTGGGTCTGAAATGAGGGCTGTGTACTCTCTCCACACATGTACCCAAATAAAACCTATTTATTTATTTATTTAGTCTTCTACAGAATATCAGCGTAAGAAATTCCAGACCTCTATGGGAATAATGCAGCAGTAAATAAGATATGTTGTCATTTGTAGAAGACCTGCATATCTGGACATGTCCCTTAGCATGTTTCATGTGACACAGCATCCTTTTAAGTTGAAGGGTTTCTGCCTGCACTTCTCTGATGTTGCAAGTCTACATTCTGTAGGTCTGGTTAGAGAACTTTTTTGGCCTTTGAATCTTAACTTAAAGGTTGTAGAGTCAAACACCAAAACCTTTCAGACCAAGAAATACCAGCCTCAGGGTTCCACATTAGAGTCTCTCATCAGGCCTTTTGGGGACACACACTATAATCACATGACCTCATAAATTTCCCCCAACAATACATCCTACTTCATTTTCTGCAGTAATTTAGACATCTGTATGTACTGTTGTATGTAACTTCAGACATGCTAGAGACAGAGCACGAAACATTTCTAAAAGATGTGTTCAAAAATTTTACAAAATTCTCAGCTTCATGTGATAGAAGAGGTTATCATCATACTAGACTCCAGCCACAAATGACTGCTTCTGTTTCCTGCAAAAATGTGTATAAATTAATCTTTGGTAATAAAATGATCAATGGGAAGAGGCAAACTACAGATTTCTCAAAGTCTGGTCCTTGTTACTATTGTGGGAAGCATCCCCACCTGTCACGTGGGAGACCAGGGTGCATTTCTGTGACAGGGAGCCACAGTGCCAACGTGTGACTCGACAGACCTGGTGGGACATCTGAGATGTAGGGTCAATGGAGAGGGGGAAGAGAGATTCTTTCTGAAGAGTCACAGTTGACAGGCCAGTCTATACGCAGTTGGTGCATCAATGTCTGCCCAGTCCATTATGGCCAGGGTGGCAGCCTACAACATGCACAAGCTCTTTACAAATTTCTGCCACACAGACCATGAGCACTGTATGTCATCCAGACCTCTGGAGGCCTGGTTGTTGGCCAAGTTACTGTAGACTACCTTCACCACCATTAACTACCTCAGATACTGGATACCTTCTTTGGTGGTAGTCTACTTGCCTTACTGGTTCACAATATCTTCTTTGAGGAGATAAGTTGGCTTCACGCTTGATAAGAGCCACCTCCAGAGGCTTGAAGGTGGCTGCCTCTCTTCCGATCCCTTTGTCAGTCCTATAGACCCCAGAGATGGACCCCAGCTGCTGGGCTTCCCTGCCTTCCCAGCACTGCAGCAACCAGGTAGCAATGCACTCACCCTGCTGATGGAACTTGCTGCCTATCTCGTAGGTTATTCAGGGATGGGGACCAGGTAGTTTCCACCTCCCTTGTCATTCCCGTCTTTTCCCTCTCCTGTCCTGCTGCAGGCCAGGCTGTCTCTTCTGACTCTTGCCCCTTCTAAACTTCAGAAGGAGCTGCCACTTCTCTTACTAACCAAACTGATACCTGCTTCCACCATTTCTTCTTGAGTACAGGAGCAACTATTATATTTGAGGGTTAGGTTTCTGGTTAAGCTACTGCATGCCCTCAGATTGAGTGACATTTTCAGTGTCCATATGAGTGGCTTCAGAGCAGGAGACCTTCTCAGCATCTCTTTGTGTGCTCCTTGATCAGGACACCCTCTTTCTCTTTTGAGGATACCAGGTGGCAGCTCAGTAGGCTTGGGCCATACCCCATCACAGCATTAGAATTTGCTGTTCCATCAGGGCAGGCAAGGCTTCACTCCTTCAAATGGTGTACCAGTTACCTGGGACCACATGCCTGTTCAGGCATGAAATCCCAAGTTATTGGAGGCAATAACAGCTGCAGGCATCTGCCCAACACCTCCCACACACCCTGCCACCCAAGGATTGACAGCCTCTGAGCACGTTCCTGTGTAGCATTCCCAATTAGTTGTTTAACCTTATGAACAGTAATCAAAATTAGGCTCACAACACACACGAGTATGATCAGTCTGATTACACAAGTATATTCAAGGAACTGAGTAGCCATTACAAGAAGGAGAGACCTACCCTAGAGGAAAAGAAGGGGTAGGTGCCATTCATTCCTTTTTCTACAAAGCATCTCTCTAAAGAGAAAAGGGGGAAGGTGTAGTTGCTGATTTTATCCTTGAGCTGATTGAGTACCCGGATGGCAGCAGTGTTGTGCCAAAAAATACCAGACGAGGCTCAAGGCCAGTGCTTTTATCATGGCTCTCATGGGCACAGCAAAAGAAAGTGATACGCAACACAGCAAAAGCTGAAAATGGTCATTAACAATTATAGGAGGCTTTGTATAGCAAAAAAGGGACCAAGGATGCCAGCACCAAAGTAAATACATTGGCATACATCACATGGCCTTCCACAGAGGAGGTTGTCCAGTACCTGAGGCGATTAGTGGTGGTGGAGGTGGTCTACAGCAAACTGGCCAACAATCAACCAGGCCTCCAAAGACCACTGGCACCAAGCAGAGGGCGAATAATCCTGGTAAAGGTGAGGAAAACAGTTGCTGGCATCCCTGGGTGGGTTCAAACCACTAACCTTTCAGTTAACAGCTGAATACACTAACCAGTTACACCACAGACCTGTGACCTCATTATCCGGTGTGATGTTGTATGGTGTGGAGCATCACTTTGGTCAGCTGTGGTCATGTTTAGTTGTATTCCCTCCCAGTTCCCTGTGCACCCCCCAGTCTGTTCACTGGTGGGATGGAGTGTGGAACAGAGAAGGGCTTGGTGTTGTGCAAGAACCATTCAGCAACAGCTACAACACTCATGCCTTACCAGCACTGATCCCTATGGGTTGCTATGAAAAAAATTTACTCTGTCCCAGCCAAGTGACACTCTGCACTGAGTTCCTCTCCAAGATCAATATCATTGAGCTATTTCTGTCATTTAATATGCATGAATTGTAACATTCAAACAATACACTAATCTAATATTTTCTGAGTATATAGCATTTTGCTATCCTTATCTTGTACAAGCAATACTAGCACAACATGTACCAGTGACAAATGCAAATGCATACATACAAAAAGAAGGGAAATGCTGCTTCCTTCCTATTTTTTTGTACCCTGAGGTCATAAGGAAAAAAAAAATATTTCAAGCACAACCCACATAATCTCCTCTTTACTAGTGAAGTTATGTTAATTCCCAGTTTTTCTTACATGATTTAAGGAGTTTATATCATGATTGGCATCCAAGAGACTTTTAACTGCTGGTAGATGATTATTGATGACTGCTAAATGGAGAGGGGAATTCTTCTGCTGAGGAGAGAAAATAATAAGGTATTATGCTTAGGTATATTATTAGAAGTTCATTCAAACAAGGAAGAGGTTCTTGTTAAGGCAGTTAACTCCTTGCAAAGGCAGTATGCTCTAGCAGAGGTTCAAGACTGCAAGACTGCACCTTGAGGTGCTGAGTTACGCCAGAGATGGCAGCCTGCTTCCGCAACACCTACAGCCGCAGGCAAACAAATACAGCTGAGAAGCCTGGAAATGCTGAGTGCATGGGGTGCATATCAGTGTGTCACTACTTAGAAACATGACAAGGCACTCCTCTTACATTTTCATACCTGGGATGTGCTGCTACCCTTGGCCAACAATGGAGAGCTCAGGGTAATGTTTCTGTTCCCTCAGAAAATTGGGTTTGCCCTTAGTTGAATACACTGGAAACAGGTTAATTCTGTATTGGGTAAACAGATGTCAAAATATACTTTCCAGGAATAAACTCTTGTCACAAAATAGTGCTGGAAATATTCTTCATACTAAAATGATTTCCTGTCATATTTATAAAAAGCAAATTACAGCCAGAAAGAAATGAAGGGTTTTTTATTTGAGTGATTATTTATTAAAATAACTGGGGCACAGATCCAACACCAGTTACAATCCAACCATTAGATTGGCAAAGTCACTATGTATGTTGAACTTGTGACTCATCAGTTTCTTGTTAAATACAGCTAAAGAGCAATTCCATACCAGTGCCATTCATGGGTGCCAAACACCAGTTCATTACTGTCTTTATAAACCACAGCCATTTCTTCAGGGCTACAGAAAAATAAAGCAAGCTCTTATGCAACGCTGCACTGGAAATGTTTCCAAAATGTAAGTTACAATTATGAGTTGCTTCTGCTACAGAAAGCCAATGAGAACAAGCAGAACAACAACTTCCTGATCTTTAAAATCATTTCAAGAACATCATAAATTGTTCTTCCTTGATAACATTACACAACAGGCCAGCGATCATGGCAGATAAGTCACGAAGCCCAGATTCTATTTTCATCTTGTACTGGAGAAGTGGAAAATTTCTTACTCCCAGAAAATCTCAAATGTAACAAAAACTGTAATACCTGATTTGAGACAAGATTACCTATTTCTTTTTAAACCCCAAAGAACGGTGGCATGCAGACTGTGAAGGCATATGCTTTGAGTGAAGAGGGTGAAAGCACCGAAGTGTTTATTTACCTTTCATTTATCTTTATTCAAAATCAATTACAAGCATTAACTCTTTGCCCATGACACACCGGGAGCCCTGCATCACTGCTACTTATTTCAAGCAGGGTACTTTGCTCATCTTTTCCTAATGCCTGTTCCTTGGCTCAGCCTGGCCACCTCCACACTGCACTGCACCAGTCTGCCCAGGCACTTACGGGGGTTTGTGCAACAGGACCTTGTCTTTGTTGGTCCATACATATTGCTAACCAACACCCATAAGCCACGTAATAATGTGTATAGTAAAAAAAAAAAAAAAAAAAAAAAAAAGAAGTAGTCAATTTCATTCAGCTGTCTGAATTCCCAAGGAAGGTGATAAAAGACAGGACGGGCTGAACAACAGCAGACCAATTATACTGAAACACACTTACCTCAGGTTTAGGAACCAAGTCAATATTCTTATCAATAAGAAAACTAACCAAGGGTAGATGTCCATTCTGAATTGCAATCTGCAAAGCACTACTATTGTTCTGAAAGAAATGGTATATACAGCAAAAAGTTACATTTTTATTGCCAGAAAAGCAGTGCTAAAGTGAGTTATTAATGTAATATTTAATTCAAATTTGTGTTATTATCCCCTCCCCAAAAAAACCTCCCTTTGATAAAATGATATAAAATGAAGTGGACCAGCAGTTAGCACAAAATGTTTTTGTAAATACTGAAGGAACTTCCCATTTTTCCTTTATCACAACAAACGTGCTAAAATCACCAGTATTCCATAGTACTTTTCAATCTCTCTTAAGAAAGAGATAAATAAGCATTGTCAGCTATCCTGCGCCATGGACAATGTCAATGCCAACACATCTCCTAGTCTGTTAGTTCAGTTTGACCTTTAACAATCAAGTACAGTCACATTAACAAACTTTTAAAAATAAATCAATAGGAAAATTTCATTTAATAGTTCTGGTAAAACAAACAAGCTCTCAGTCTGCTGGAATCATGAACTTCACAGCAGGTGAGCCAAGGCCATTCAACTGATGTGAGCTGGACTGGAGTCCAGGAACCAGATGTGGAGAACAGGTTTGTGATCGGGTCAGTCATATGCACTGCCAAAAAGGATGATTTTCAATCACCCTGCTTGGTTACATTTCCTAGTCATATGTTTTACCAATGGATATATAGTAAATAAAAAAGCTCCACCACAGTATTCTGTCAAATAAATCTATGCTATATTTCTTCTACATCAGTTTTTTTCTGATAGCACTCTACAATCCAAATTCTATGGTTTGGGTTTTTTTTGTTGTTTTGTTTTGTTTGCTTTTTTTTTGTTTTTTGTTTTTTTGTTTTGGTTTGGTTTGGTTTGGGTTTGTTTGTTTGTTTTTTGTTTGTTTTGGGGTTTTTTGTTATTTTCTTCTTTTTTTTTTTTACCATTTTGTAAAAATAAGCTGAGCAAATATACTGTTAGTACACACAGAAATGAGAAGATAAGGTCCCTCCCACAGCTCAGGATGTCCCAGTACCTGTGTGCTGGAGGGATACTGTGTACATACTTGAGTTAAAACATTGATGTCACTCCCTGCTTCCAGTAAGAGTTCAGCACATTTTTCATGACCTCCTTCAACAGACAAGTAAAATGGGGTTTCTCCATTCTAGACCAATAGAGAGAAAATGTCCGTTCCAATTTAAGCCACATGACTGTGGCTGTGACACAAAACAGCCCAATCAGACTCATCCAGCTAAGAGAAGAGGGGAGATGGTCACAAGAGAACACAACCTGAATGCTCCTAAATTAACACTTAAATGAAATGGCAACTCACCAATGCTTCAGTGACAAACGACATCTATGTGGGCAGATGTACGGTAAGGTTCATGATACGCATAACTATTTCATAAATATGAACCATGCTCTTTTCAAAGAAGATCAATAGCAACAGGATCAGAAACAAAGACAGTGGATAATAGTTGCTGGCATTCAACACCAGGCAACACTGCTAGCATGCTAGCGCATACCATAAGTACCACTTTCTGTCAGTCTGATGCCATGGATTTCTGATGAATTCCCAACTCCAGTGCTAGTTATAAGGAGCACTTTTAGCAGAAACAGTCCTGTTGCAAATTTTTTTCAAATCTTCTCACCCCCAAAAAGTCTCCATGTCTCCACAGCAAGACTACAGTAAATTATGTCAGCTGCACAATGATCTAATCCCTGCTTCGCTACTCCTAAAATACACAAAGGTTTACTGAAAGTTACTCTAGTGTATCAGCATTCACAGAAACATCAATAAATCCTAGTTTTTCTTTGCTGAAACTCCTGCCACCGTTATTCTCGTAAATTTAAAATATTTTAGGGTTTTGCTCATACTGGGGAAAGAAAAACCTGTTTATCCACAGGCCAGAACATCTGCAGCTGGACCATTAGGCATGGCAAGGCAGGAGCACAACCAGTATGATCTTTGTGTGCAGAAGCAACACTGTTAGACAAAGCTTGGAAACACAAGGGCTTCACATTTCAAAGGGGCTTGTGTGCCTCAAAGCTCACATATCTGGAAATAACTTACAAATTGTATAAGAGAGAACCCCTCTACCCATAAATCTGTTTCTGATTAAGGAAGAGGAGGGCCCTGGGTAGGAGAAGATGTCCCTTACTCATTTCGCCTGCTGGGCCAGCAGAACAGACCATCAACCACACAGCAGGTTCATACAGTTGACATGCCAGCCCACAACAGATTGAATTAACTTGCTGAGTTAGTTCCAGCTGCCCCACAGAAAAGGCGGAAGACACAAGGACCATTTGCAAAATAGGAAGGCTGAGTTGAGTAGTTAGGGTGCATTTTCCACCCCCCACCCATACTTTAAGACTTAAAATTAAGCTCATGAGTGCATCAACTCAAGGATACAACCTTCACAGTTAATATGCAATTTATGAATATGCTGGCTGAGCTCACCAACACTAATCCAGAAAAGAAAAGTGGGTAGGCAGTGTCTGAAGTCAGCTGAGATCAGATGAAGAAGGCACAAATCTGAGACCTCCCTGCTGAGGTGCCTGCAATGCTATGTGCTGGGTATGCATGTTGAACTCGCTCAGTGAGTAGCCTGAAAAGCACCAGAGATGGTAAAAGGAATGGGATCACATGGCCAGAGAAGTTGGAGGACAGGGAGCAAGGTAGAGGTTAGGCTCGCCTCTGTTTCCTTCTACCAGTAGTTATGCACGGGCATTTAAGATGGAGGGGAGGCCATTGTATGAGGAATAGAACACAGAGGAAGAGACATTGAAGGAGTTAATGCAGCTGAATTTATTGGAGGAAGGACAAGGAAACAGGATGCAAAGATACTAGAAATACAGTAGAACTAATTAAGTCTACTTGGTGCAAGATTTAGTCTTTTGAAATGTTATTTTTTAGTAGATTTTAAAAATTTCTAACTTTATCACTTTCAGTAGTTTCTGTGTCCTTACCTGATTGAGGTCATTTACTTCCTCCCACTGTGCAAGCAGAATTTCTACAACTTCGCTGTGACCATTTTTGGCTGCAAGATGCAATGCTGTGTTTCCCTCCTTGAAATTAAAACATCAAAAAAAAGATTTAAAAATACAAAATAAAGTCAAAACATCAAGTAAACCAACACAAAGCCTTTGATCTTTCACATACACCTCTCTCTTACATACAAGGAGAAGAAGGCAACTCCACGTAGCATGTTACAAGATTCAGACTAATCCAAAAGGGGCCTTTTCATGTATATGCAGACATGACCTTTGTGGTCTAGTTGGTTGTCTCATATTCTGAAAACTGTAGTGCATGACCAGTGAAAAGACCTAACAATTCTAGCTCCTAAAGAATGACTCAGAAGAAAACTTCGGGTGCTGGTTCTTACAAGGATGGGGACTACACCAAGCACCCAAGATCACTGATATAAAGATTAATGGCCAAAACCTAGGTAAGTACATAGAAATTTGTAGTGGCTTTGATTTCAGCATTACAATCTTTAATCTCTTTCAGCACCAGCACAATTTCTCACAAGCTAATTTAAAAAAAAAAAAAAAAAAGAAAAAAACCAAACCAACCAAAAAAACCAAAAGACACTAGCAAGCAAATAAAAACAAAGAATGAGTGCAGGAAGAGCAGAAGGTTTTGAGCTAAAAGATAATGATGTCACAAGAAAAAATATAAAACTGTCTAAAAGCAAACTGAAGCTGGAAATTAAGAGAAGAATCCTAACCCTCAGAGAAAGGAGAGTCTAGAACAACTTTCCTTTCACAGCACTGGGGTGGGGAGAAATCAAGTCCTTTTTAGAAATTGTGGATAAAGTGTGATTGCTTTTAGTGATCCAGGAGATGTGTTTCTGTCCTGGCTTCTTACCTATTTACTCTGTAGGAGCATTTGCCTCCCATCATTGCTGTTCAGACCTTCAGACCTTTAGATGTATGGGACAACATTGTCTTTTAACCTCTGCTCATAAACTGTTTAGAACAGACGAGTGAGAACTGGGTTGCACTGCAGCTTTTAAACTATTACCAGAATACCAAAACCCAGCATCACTTCCTGGGTGCTTACTTATATGGTTCTATAAATGAAGTATCTGACTGTTTCACAATTTTTAATATATTTATTGTTGCAATGCTTCAGATTCAGAGAAATACCAGCTTGTAAAGTAAGTAAATTTAAGGGCAGACTTTGAAAGTTATTTAGATACCTTAAAATGCAGTGTCAAAATCAAACTCAATCAGATTGAAGTGTTAAAGCACTTCTGAAAAATCCCTATAGGTATTTATTTGCATCCTGAAATACTTAAACACCTTCGAAAAATCAGTCATGCAGGACTTAACAGTAACACACAGATACAGCTGAGCAGAGTTAAAAACTGGGAAATATGATCTCCCAGTAAAGACGCTGACACCTTAATCACCAGACTTTCCTACTTCTCCCAACAGACAACATATGCCAATCTGGCTTTACACGAGTTATTAATGTGTACGGAAAAGTCTCCTGGCAATAAGACCAGAAGTCCCACTGTCTTCCCTTAGTTACTGAAAAATCATCACCCTTCATGTTTTGTTGGTCCAATGCATATCAATACCAGCACTGTGACATCTGTACAGCTTATTCCCATTACTGGGATGTGTAGTAACTACATGGAAATAAAATAATCTTTCATAGCACATTTTTAGTTGTACTTCTGTGGAAAAGAAACCTTTACCTTATCTTTTTCAAATGTAAACAGCTTCAGGGCAATCAAATTGTTAATCATGTCAACATGGCCTTTTTCAGATGCCAGAAGAAATGGCTTTTTACCTTTCTAGAAAATAATTATGAAAAGAAGCACAGTGTTATTGAAAGTAAAAATACTTTCCTTCCAGTTACTAGATATATGGCATGCATAAGTGTAGATGTGTTCTGCATAAAAATGTATATATCATATGACTAAGTAGATTAACAAAAAAGTAGATACGCACGAGAAGAGTAAGAATTTTAAAAATACACAATATTTAGTTAGTGTAAAAAACCCCAGATTATACATTTTACATACAATGAAGAAAATATTGGAAAACTGTTCAGAAATGGTAACAAGGTAGAAAATGTGCTCAAAATATTTAATTCTTAATTCTTCTCAGTATGAAAATGTTTATCAAAAGAACTGTGTCATGTCATCAAAAGAACAAGTCTGAGGATGTTCAGAAATGGACATTAAAGGAGTTGCAAGATTTACTTCTATGACGTAACAGGTTTGATCAGAATTCTGCAAGCACAGGCCAGAACAATCCTACCTCAGAAGTTTCATCCAGGAGGCCTGAATTTAATGATGCCCATTGTAGGGTTTTTTTGGTGGTGGTTAAACTAACAAAAACTTTTCCAACTGTTTACAACTCAACTGCAGAAAATTATCTTGACATACCACTGGCCCGAGACTGAGGCCATCTAACCAGTTAGTTAGATGGTCTTCCTATCTGATAGTGGCTTATATTAAATGTTTAAGAAAAAAAATGCAAGCAGCTAATAGATAATTATGAAATAACCTCAACATAAAGAGGATGATTTTCACCTTTCCGTTCCCAAGGCCTAAAACACAAAGGTTTGTTTTGTCAAATTAATTCTGTTTTGTCAACCTTGTCATGTGTAGAAAGAATTCAAAAATTTACACCATTGGGTCGGTACAATTCAAGACTTGAAAAAAAGGATAGAGGAGCTTTGTTCTTTTGGTGACAGAACCTGCAAGAATAAATTTTCTTCATGTAAAGATAAAATATCCTACTTAGCTAAGTAAGCTTTCAAAGCAAGATCCCAACATTATAGGAAGGAAAAATAAAAACTCAGTGAACCTGATGAGCACAAGGCCCTGGCACTGAAGCGTTGGTGCACCTCTGTAGAATGACTGCATGTAGTTTTATGTTCTACATTGGCAAAATATGGCCATGTTGGCCATGACTGGCAGGTTTTGGTAAGGGCAAGGGGCTGCAAGGGTGAGTTGTGTGGGAGGAGGACAGGGACTGCCCTAGGCTGGCCATAGCCATTTCCAGCTGGCTCCACAAAACTGACCCACCACGTCATCAGTCAACCCATCAGAGGAGCACGTGATACCTCTGTGAAAACATATTTAAGAAAGGGTGGTCACTGGTCACAGAGGGAGGAGGCACAACGTGAAATACATAAGGAGATGTGAGACGATGCAAGGGAGCAGACACAGGAGAAGGTACACCCACAAGGTGACTGCAGCCCATGGAAGAACCCTTGCTGGAGCAGAGGAAAAGAGTAAGAAACAAAGAGCAGGAAAAAAAAGGAAACCACTGTGGACTGAGTCCAACCTCCTCTGCTTCTCGTCACTTCGCCGATAGGACTGGGCAACCCATACTGCAAAAGCAAGGGCAGCAGGGAAGCAGTGGTGTCTGGAGTTCAGGTGAGACAGCCAAAGAGGGAGGAAAGGTGTTTTCCCCAAGCACTGTCTGGCTGTTTGTCTTACTTTTTTCTCAATACCCAAATTAATAATTAAAAGCTAATGCAACTGAAAATAAAATAAAATTCATTGAAATTCCCCAAGTCAAGATCATTTTGCCACCAACAGATGCCTCATGACATCAAAGAAATAAACAGAAAGAAACATACTGTACCCCATCAGGCTTGTTCAAGTCATTCAGATGAAGATCTTGGATAAAATAATCAACTATTTTAACACTGTTGTTCTGAGCTGCAAAGTGCAGGACATTCATTCCTTCCTGAAAAATCATAAGCAACGCTGTAAGAACAAGTTTGATTTTTTTCAACATAAATCTGTTTAGAGTTGGTAAAAATTTGTCATCAACAAACCTCGTTCTTAGCCTTTTGATCAGCGCCTGCTTTAACTAATTTTCTCATTATATCCAGATTTCCAGTCCAAGCTGCAAGATGAATCACTGTCAGGCCATGCTTCAAATAAAATGATAAAGGCAGAAATTACCTCCAAAATACCTCATGCCAAATTTCTTTAAATCTTTTTGATTAGTTCTGTGTATGAGTAGGTTCTGCTCTGCAGGCTCTTAGAAAACTACTATTAACTCTGCAGTCTGAGTGGGATTCATCTCACTTAAATTAAGCTAAATGTCATGCACCAAGACCTAGCTAAATGTTCAGGCTGCCCCTTTTCTTGACAAAAAGTCAGGCATCTTCAGAGAAGGACTGATCCCATTTTAAGATAAGTGGATTAAATACCACCTGGAAATGATTCCCTCTCTCCAGAAACCATGCAGGTAGTTAGTACTGGGTGTGGTGGATGACATTTCAGGTGATGATATGTAATGACTGTATTTCTATGAGTCACCATAATTTTCTAGTTAGCCCTCTTTTTAAGGTTCTTTTTTCTTCTCTCAGATTCTGTAAAAACTTCTCTTATAGGAAAAAAACAAAAACCCCAACCAAAAAAAAAAAAAAGCAAACCAAAAACCCCAAAACAACATCCTGTTGCTAACTTCTTAGCCAAAAGGAATAGAGATAAGGAACTTTCAGCCAGTGTCTTCCATCTTGGCCACAGATCTCTCTAGCTTTTCAACATCTCCTCCTCAATTTGTGTGTACTGTGTCCAGTTGCAGCATCATAAACCAGGGCTCACTGTGCTAAGTGGTGTGTAAGGTGCTTGTACTCCACCATAAAAGCTCCTGGTCTAAGACATGGAGTCAGAGGAACCTAAAGGAAGCAAGAGAGATCAAGGCAGTTCCTTAGCAACTATAACCCTTCCCCAGTTTCTCCTCTGTAAATGAGGAAGAAATAGCTTGACTCCCAATTCTAACGGAGAATGGGAACACTTTTTATGCATATTGGTATAACACTTCTGACAGCAGGATGCTTGCTGTGATGGGGACTTCAGGACACAGCTCACAAACTATTCACTGAATAACAAAACAGTTCAGGCTGGAATAGAAGGCCTCTGGAGGTCACACTTCTATGGCTTCCTGCTCAAAGCCTGTCTCCCTGCATCAGGTCACTCAGGACCTCCTCCTGTCAAGTTTTAATAGCCTAAAGATTGAAACTTCACAAAGTCTCTGGAAAATCTGTTCCATGGTTTGACCACTTTGATACTGAATTTTTTTTTTTCTCATTGTACCTAACTGGGACCTCCTGCATTGAGATTTGTGTCTATTCCCTCTTGTCCTATCACTGTGCACCTCTGAGAAGAGTCCATCTCTGTCTTCTCTACATTCTCTTCTTATCTAGCTATAGACAGTCATAAACTGTGCCCCTTACCAGTCTCCTCCCAAGGCTCTCTCAGCACCTACTCATGCACCATGTGCCTCGGTGTAATCATCCCAGGGACTCCGCCCTGGACTCGCTCCACCTTATCAATGTCTGTTCTGTATTGGGGAGTCCCCAGCTGGGAACAGCGAGCAGAAATTGCACTGGAAAACAGTGGAGGGCAATATGGAACACGCATCTGATGTGCAGGATACAAGAATAAAGCTGAGCTTGGACAAAATTTGTGACTGTTGCTAGAAAGTCTGCCCTGAAAAACCTTCCCCATTATGACCAAGATGAAAAAGTAACTAGACCTGACAGCCTTATACAATTAGAAGACTAGCCTGGTGGATGAGGGCACAGAAGTAAGTGTTTAGCTCAACTTTTGTAATAGTTTTGACCCTGGCTCCCACGATGTCCTTGCAGACAAACCATACAGGTATATCCAAATGGATATACCAAGGTGTACTGAAAGCCAGCTGACCTGACAGGCCTAAAGTGTTCTGATCAGCAGCACAAAGTCCAGCTGGAGACCAGTCACTAGGCATTGATCATGGGTCCAGTACTGTTTAACATCTTAATGACATGAATGATGGGGCAGAGTGCACCTGAATTAAATTTATAGACTATATTAAATTGGGGAGAGTGGCTGATGGTGTGCTGCCATCCAGTGGGGCCTTGATGGTCTGGAGAAAAAGGCTGACAAGAACCTCATGAAATTCAACAAGGGGAAATGCAAAGTCCTGTACCTGGTGAGGAGCAACCACAAGCACCAGTACTGACTGGTGACCAACTGCCTGGAAAGAAGCTTGGCAGAGAAGGACCTGGGGCTCCTGGTGGACACTAAGTCAAATGTGACCCAGCAAAGTGCCTTTGCAGCACGCAAGACAAATGGTATCCTGGGCTGCATTAGGAACAGCACTGCCACCTGGTCAAGGGAGATGATCCTTCCCCTCTACTCACTGGTGAGACACAACTGGAGTACTGTGTCCATTTCTGGGCTTGCCAGTATAGGAGAGACATGGACATACTGCACAGAGTCCTGCAAAGGACCGCAAAGATGATTAAGGGACAACTGACATGAGGACAGGCTGAGACCTGGGACAGTTTTGCCAAAGAAGGCTGGATCTTGTAATTGTGTATAAATACCTGATGGAAGGGAGTTAAAAAGATGCAGACAGACTTTTCTCCATGGTGTTCAGTGTCAGGGAAAGGCAATGGGCACAAAGTGAAATACAGAAAGATTAATTAAACATAAGAAAAGCTTTTCTGCTTTAAGGATGATCAAACACTGGAATCAGTTTCTCAGAGTGGTTACAGAGTCTCCATCCTTGGAGATATCAAAACTCCGTTTGGACGTAGCTCAGAGCAACCTCCTTTTTATGACCATGCTGTGAGCTGGAGGCTGGTCTGGGTCATCTCCAGTGGCTCCCAGCTCAGCCATTCTGTGTGATTCTGTGTGTTGTTTGTTTGATAGGGCGGAGTCTGGGGTGGAGAAAAGAAGGCACAAAGGCAGTAAAAAGTTGGGTTCAGGAAAAGAAAAAATAAATGCAAATGAGGTATAAAATCAGATGGAGAACAAAAAAGGAAAGAATCTTGTGATGCCTGCAATCTTGTGATTGTGGACTCCTGCTGATGATGGTGAAGGTGACCTGCAGACCCAAGGTCCCCCCTGATACAGGAAGGGACTGCCTTGGACTCTTGTGCTGGAGTCTCCATAAGGTCCGTGTCTGAAAGAGTTCATATGGTAGGGTGGATAAGAAGGGATAAACTTGTCTGCAGAACAAATGAGAGAACTGCAACTTAGTAGTACTAGATTTCTTTGCAGTAATGTCATTGTGTGTCAGTGTTAATACTGATAATAAACAATAGAGTTGTAACTTAATTGCTGCAACCTTGAGTGATATAATTGTGAATTAATACTACTACTAATAGTGGTGTGTTTATTAATCAATTAATGTATTATTCCATCTTAGGTGGAGTGTTTTCAATAGTTTTTCAACAGAGATGATTAACAACATCTAAGAATTAAAGACAGCTAATAATGAAAAGGTAATCCTTAATTAGAATGAGATTCTGAGTGTTTAATAGAACCTTAACATGAGAGGAAGGTCCATATTTCCAACCTGGCTTCAATGCACTCTATCAGGGTAATTAAAGGACTCATAAAATACTTTCAGTCACCTTATTGCCTCAACAAATCTGGAAGGTAGCCCCTGAAAAATAATTTGACATACAGAATAAAATTACATGAACACTATACCCAGTGGTCCCCTATAAGAGATCTAGGGATCCATTTCTTAATTGTTGCTATGGAGACCACTACTACTTAAAGAAAACTGTCCACATCCTGCAGAATTACCCTACTAGCGTTTATGTTATAGACTGTTAATTTTTGAGTACTTTGTTCAGGAAGTGTCTTTCAGATTGCCAGACGAAAGGGAAAGATTGTTTACAACAGCATAAGGTTTGCCTAAGAGCTGATAGTGTCTAGAAAGATGGCCATATTTCTTCAAGGCAGCACATGAGGTATTTGCTGACAGGGCAGCTTGGGAGACCATTTCAGAGCACCTCAAGCAGCACTAATGAGTTGATGTTTACCTATGTTGCAAGAACGTGCCTATTCCAAGAGCCACTGGTAACTGGAACTGATAGGTCTCTTGTCTTATTTTCATTCCATCACAACGTGAAAACAAGGCAGCTTTCTCCCTCCACTCTGTACAACCTGGAATTTGTCTTACTTACAGCTTAAACACTGCCACATATGGTGGATAAGGAGAAAGAAGAAATTGGGGAAAAGAGGTGAACAATTAATCTATTTTCATCACTCAGTTCACTGGAAAACTCCTAGTTTGAATAGTCTGTTAATAACATACTATACGTTTGGTTTTAGTATCTGAATCGAATCATGCATCAATCTGAATCAAATCTGTGGATCACCATTTTGTCCAAACAAAACAGCCATACAGTGCTAAACTCTTAATGTCTTGGAGGCTGCAGAGTAGCTGACAGTTTTGCATTAAGCCATTAATGTGAAAATGGAGGGTAAGAAAGCAAGGAGTTACTTTCTGAGCTCCTAGAGATCCCTAGGGCTAATTTTTACTTTCAGTATAAAGCTTTCCTATAAAGTGGCCAATGAATAATACACAACTACCACAGACAGCGTATTTGCATGAGTGGCTTCAACCACATTTGCACTTGATCAACTATTCAACATAGCCAAAGCTCTGGGCAGTGTGTTTTTCCTCTAGCAAAGTTTTTTCATATAAATATCTTCAGTCTTAAGACAAACTGAAGCATTTACAGCAAGAACTTAACTTTGCAAAACAGGGAGCACAAGGCAAATATTTACTTTTACTTTACCCCTGAGGTGTTCCTATACTGTGTGAATCAAAACATGTAAACCAGCTTACCTGATCTGCCATATCAAGTCTAGCTTTGTGATGGAGAAGAAAATCCACCACCGATATATGACTTCTTGCAACAGCAAAATGGAGTGCAGTGCGCTTCAGCTGAAACAAGCAAAGCTTTGGTTGTCAGGTCTGTAATACAGTTCTTTTCCTTGTGCAGGTGATGAGGGTTTCTGAATTCTCTGATTATTAACAAATGTATTGGTTAATATATAGATGTTTGCATAGTTCTCCTTCAACAGCCACGTTTGGTCTTTATCTGCACTTTTATTATTCCCTTGGATAGAATTTATGTATCAAAGATTTCTTGATGATTTCCTTACTCTACACAGCACCATCCCTTCGCTGAAGTTCACTGAAACATCAAGGTGGGATTAAATAATCATATACTGCCTAGGTGAAATGCATGCAGTATAAGAAGCATCCATGTTTACTATTTTATTATATGGTTTGATTTGATTGAAAAGCTGAGAACTAAATTTACACAATTAGATTTGCTTTTGGTATCCTCCTTGCTTTTGACCGTATCTGTACAATGAATGATGAGATTCCTCCCTCACCCATATTACTCACCTTCCCAGACTGAGTCATTATCTATGTAAATGAAAGCTTCCACTTTGCAAACAGTGAGTAATTTTACACAGGTGAATAGGCCCCATGCTTATCAAGACCACTTGGTTAATTTTTCATTAAAGTAATTAATGGTGTGAATTTAAAAGGGATTGGTTAAATTGAATTAAATTTTAATGGAGAAAATTTCTAGTTAAAGTGAACGTAACTGGGTTTAACATAATCCATTGAGTTTCCATACAAGGATATATAAGTGATTTTACCAATTAACTTTAAAAGTCAGTTTAAATTTGTTCTCTTATAATTCTATGTCAAGCAGCTGACTTACCCATGTATAAGTTTAAATTTTACAGCTACATGTGTTAAAAGCATAAAAAGGTGGGATTTGTGGCTTGCATTTATGCCAGATAAAGCCTCTTGCACAGACATAGTTCTATCAGCAAAACTCACCTTTTAGCAGCCTTGCTTATTCGGCTTGGGAGTACAGGGGCAGGAATTATCAACATGAAGAAAAGAATGGTTTTGCCAGTACAAGCTACATCCCCACTAGAAGAATCAATCAATGCAAAACACCCACGTAGCTATGCTAGTAAATCTCTTAATACTATAAATCTGATTTAAGGATGACAGAATAAGATTCAAACTACTGGAATGGAAAAGTATTTAGTTTAATTTCCTGAATTCTGGAAAGCAATAAGGAAGCAATAACTATTTTTTTAGTGACTTTTAGAGTGCTGTGTAGTTGATGGGAGCACTCTTATTGTTCAAGAGAAGTTTAGTCAAGGGAAAGTTTTGTCTCCCTCTTCTTTTCACAAACAAACCAAGGAATTGACCTGTACTATCTCCTCAATTCCTCACTGGGGAAAAATGCATGTGGGCATGCGAAGCAAGTTTTTTCAGAACCCATGATTAAGTAAAATTGGATGTTCATGGCTAGATGACTTACACATAGACACAGAGAGCAAACTGTTCTGCACAACTCCCAGTTCAACATCACAACTCCATTGCTGTTTAACTACTTCTCAGGTGGAACACATCACTCTGATTTGTTACTGTGAAGTATACACCCTCAGATTTTAGGCTTAGAGTTGATGTCAGTATAAGAAATACATTTTCATCTCTCTAGGATAAAACTGAACTCTCATCTCAGCCTGGAACTAGAGGACATGGTAGAATGCTCCTGTGGTTCCATACAAACTGAATGGTAACACTTCACACTTGAAGTTTGTAGCACTAGCAGCACAAATTGATTCTCAAAGTGGCTTTGAGATTAAGTCCTCTGATTCTGAAAGACTGGGAACTCAAGAAATTAGAACACAGAGTAAATATCAGAACAGGGACCACAACCCACAAGTCCTTAGTTCCTAATGTGATGCACAGACTAGTGGCTAAATGCAAAGACCTGTGAGTTATGCTGCACAAATCCTACTGTCCGTACTAGATGTATGAAATGTTTCTTAATCAGTTCCTAAAACGGACCCCTGCAGCCTCACCACCTTGCAGTTGATGGAGCTAGCATGCTGAGATTCCACCATGCAACCCCAAGGACTCACGTTTCAGATCAGTCATCTGGCAGACACTTCATACTCACAGTATCTACAGCATTTATGTTAACATTCTTTTTAAACAGCTTTTCCATGTTTTCCAAATTGTTCATTTTAGCAGCATATTGAAATTCTCTCTCATCTGGCAATACTGTGGAAAAACATGATGAAAAGATTGTATTACTAAAAAAACAGTCATAAACAACTTAAGGGATGATGATACTGTTCTTGCTTTCAGTTATTTGTCCTGATTTCATATTCTCATGGAATGAGAATCATTTGCTTCTCATCATAGAAGTGTTCCAGGATTACATTTTTCTCCTCTAGAGATGTCTGGCTGATGTTTCTAGTTTCAACTTGTAAGTGCAAGTAGAGGTAGACTTTTCACAGCATGGATTACCATTATTTGCACTGCTTACAGGAACAAGAGTTCATTTATGAAGCTCTCACCCTCTAAATGGGTCCCAAAGTGCTTTATAGGCATAGCAGTGAACAGTGCAAACTGCAGAATTTATTTCTTATTCTTGGAAATGTTGCTCTGTCTTAAAACAGGACACACCGCCCAAATACATAAAAATGTATAGCAGTAACCAAATGATAGGACCCAACTTAAACAAACAAACAAACCAGGAGTTTTACAGGGAAAAAAACCCCAAAAGGATGCATACTTGAACTCAAAATTTGTCCACAATGTGGAATTTACTATTAAATTCAGACCTTCCTTTAATGTCTGAACCCAAAACCGAACATCTGTTTGGTCAACTAAAGCAGCTGCAGCATGCATTTATACACCTAATTTCAGTAATTTTGGAAAATAAAATTCCAGTGTCTGATAACTGGTTTAGCTAACTTAGAGGTCAGAGTATTTCTCATGTTTCTACTTTAACATTTCATTAATCACTTAGAAGAAATTAATGTGGCAGTTAAATCAGCTGCAAAAATGTTAGCAGATATTTTTAATTTCCTAGTATATCACATTTAAAAAGTTAATCACCTAGATATCTTCTGTCTAGAATATTTTGGCCTGAAAGCCACTTTTCCAATGATATCACCAAGAAGGACAGCACACTTTGTTGAACTAGAAACTGCAGCAATGATCTATTTCTTAGAGGCCTCTCATGCAAGTTCATCCTACTGCATTACATCTAATTTTATTAATGCTTAATGAGAACACATCTTGAGGCTGTATGACTGGAAAACATTCTAAGGAAAATCAGTATGGCATTCACTAAATTGCACTTTACATGTTACCCATGATTATAATCTCAGTGGGAATAATCACAGTTGTACTCTACAAAATGAGCTAGAAATTAAACTGGACACATGCAAGGCTGTTTCCAGTTTTCCTAAGACATTATCCAAGCACCTCAAACAACAGAAGCATCCTCTCAAAATTCTCGGGAAATCACAGAATATTACTTGCTTATTTTACAACATGGGGGCACAGCTGAAAGAAAAAAAAAAAACCAACAAACAAACAAAAACTAAAACCCAGCAGTTGCAAATACAAATGCACCCCGGCATCTGTGACGAGGAGTGTGGCTGACAGCAAAATCACCATCATGAGCAGGGATCTTTGCAGAATAAATGCATCACTCATAGTTTTCAAGGTCTACACCCTAAAGAATTATCCAGTAGAGATCCACTATCTCAATTTCAAACATGGGTAAATAAATGGTTGCAGGGTGTATTGCTCAAGGCAAATTTGTGGCAAACATGGAAACAAAACGTAGGGCACCAATTAGCTGCAATTAATCACAGTTAGGACACATTCATTCCTACTGACTGCTGATGAACACTCACGTGTATCTTACATGAGGATGCAAAGATGCTATTGCATCTCAGGACATTTAGGAACAATCCCAACAGTTTACTTGCACTGCCTTCAAGAAACAAGAGAAAATGATGTTTCTTTGCTGTACTTGCATTGGCAATGACAGTTTTGCTGTAGTTCTGAAAAAGAATTAATAACTGATCTTTTCTCTCCTGTCCAGAAGCCATGAATTGGCTGTGTGCTCTTAAAAAGACAACCTTTTACTCTGGGTGTGATGTTTCTCAGTATTCTCTCTCTCTCAGTATCTCTTAATTCAGGAGTTAAGGTCAGTGGCGATCCATACACACCATGGCACTGACTTGCTGCACAACCTTTTGCCGCTTTTGAAAAATGATTTTTTTTTGTGCATGAAATGACAGGAGTATAGAGCTGAAAGACTCCAGATTTATGGAAGCTTTCAATCCAAGCTGGGGTATCTGGGATTCGGCACTACTTGCATTATTAGCAATCACTCTATTTTCAGGTAACAGCAGCAAACAGTTATCTATTTGTGGCTTTCAATCTTTTTGGGGCATTATTTTCTTTGGCATCATACAAAATGTCTGGCTTATTGCCCTACAGGTTATATCATAACTATGTAATTATATTTATGTTATAACCATAAACCAGTTATATTTAATTTTGCTTATGGGCTAATTAAAAGTAGTCATTTTATCAGTTGCTTGCCTTTGCAGAGCGCCCTGTCTGCAGTGCATTGAATATCCCAACATTTCTCATCTCTTGGAAGGGCAAGGACTTAAAAAGATGCGGAAAAGTAAATAACTGTTGACCTGAAAACAGAAGGTCTTCCTCAACAAAAACTCAAGCTTTGAGGTACCTTCAGTTTTCCCTTCCTCATATTTAAGTCTTATTTCAGTGGCCTCGATGTCTTTCAGTAATACCACAAATAAGGATGACTTCCAGTGAAGTAAAAAACGTGCACCAGAGGAGCACAGAGACAATGGAAATCTTTCACCTACTCCACCATCATTTTTAATCTCCTGTTGGGGTAACCACAAGATGAAATCTGTCATTGTCTCAGAAAGCACATGATAAAAACACCAGGAATTTTAATTGGCTGAAGAGCTCCAAGGAGCTAAAACACAAAACCAATAACAATATTCAGATTCCAATGACAACAGGAATTATTTTTACTCTATTTCTTCTAAAAATCGAATTACACATTTAATGATTTGGTAACATTTTCAATGTTTCTTCTATGTTTTCTTGTTTGTTACTGGAAACAAAATTACTAGGGTAAAGTAGCTATTTTGTTAAGTCATGAGAATTCTTTTCTATAATAATAATTTTCCTGTTCAGAGAACTCATGGGAAAAACTACCTATTGAGTCGAGCAGTGATATTTTATTTGTTTCTTCTCTTTATCTGCCCTGTTTGCCAGCCTGGAAGCAGGAAGCACGACCCAGGAGGACGGCTCCTGGCTGTCACGCTGCGATCACAGGACAAGGCCATGCCAGGGTGTCCTGGGTTGAGTGAGTGGTGGAGTTTTTTGGTGGCAGGGGAGGGGGCTATCGGGGCGGCCCCCTGTGAGAAGCTTCTCGAAGCTCCCCCAGCTCCACGTCAGCTCCACTTCTGTTTGGGAAATTGAGCCAATCGGCTGCTCCTCTGCGATAACGTATTTAAGAAGGGACGTGGTGATGGGCAATGGGACTTGTGAGGAGGAGTTGCTGCAGCTGCATGAACACCAAGGTCAGTGGAGGAACGGAGGAAGAAAGGAGGGGGGAGGTGTGCCGGAGCAGAGACCCCCCTGTATCCTGTGGTGAGACGGCAGGGCGGCCCCCCCTGCCACCCATGAAGAACTACGGTGGAGCAGACATTGATTTACATCCTGTTGTTCCTGCTCGGCATAATCAAGGTTCTGTGCCCAAAAAAGGCCGGGGTCTCATGGGAAAAGGTAGCCCCGCTGCTGTAATTCAGTGCTGGGAGGATTGCAGCATGCTGGGGAGTCCCACGCTGGAGCAGCTCGGGAAGGGCTGCAGCCGTGGGAGAGAATCCAGTCGGAGGAAGTTAGTGACCCATGACGGAGCAGTGTGGGGAATGCTGTGGCCCATGGGAGGAATTCAAGTCAGAGAAAGTTTGTGGAGGACTGTCTCCTGTGAGAGGGGGACCACGATGGAGTAGGGGGTAACAAGTTTTGGACACTCCCCTCACCGAAGATGAAGGAAGTGGCAGCACTGACTGCACCCCCCATTCCCTGCCCCTGCGCCACTGGGGGAGGAGGTAGAGATATCGGGAGCAGAGCTGAGCCCGGGAAGAAGGGAGGGGTGGGGGGAAGCTGTTCTCAAGATGTGGCAATGCTTCTCACTGTCCTACTCTGTTATGTGTTGTTAGTGTCTGTAATAAATGTATGTTCTTTTTTTCTTCCCCTAACGAGTCTGCCTTTTGCTCGTGATCATAAAAGGGGGATTTTCCCCCATCCCAGTCCTATCTTGAACCCCAAGCCTGGCTCTCTGTCCCTTCTCATTGCCGGAGGGGAAGGGAGAGAGAGCTGCTGCATTGTGGTTGGCTGTCAATCAGGCCTAAACCACGACACAGGGTATAACAATCACCGCTCAGTTTCCACAAATAACCCCTTTTCACTAATTGCAGCCCACACCAGGGCAGGCTGCTCTTTCACAAACCAGTTTGTGGGATGTAAACCGGAGACCCTGTCACTGGGAGTCGTGCCACTGAGTGCAAGGAGGACAGAAGGTCCTTCAGTTTCTGTGTGCCCCCTAAAACAGGGGCCCAGATCGGCCATGAAACTGTCAGCAGGTGCTCAGCCTCAGGGTTATGGCTAAAGCCAGTGAACTCCTTTAGACGGCCTCAGCGGTGAAGTTAAAGTGGGGTGCTGGGCAGTTTGCAGGACCCATCCTTCGGAAGACAGACACGCCAAACCCCAGGTTGCGATCCCACATCCACACGTCCTCGCTGATGTGTGTTGCTACGTGTCAGAACAGCTCACATTTAACCTCTTCGTTTTCACCACCACCACCACCACTCAGTTTTTTCCCTGGCCGAGGCAAAAAGCGGGTCCAGGTGGGCCCCACCGTCCCAGCAGTGCTGGCCGGGCCTGGCCTGCGCCGCCCGCAGTGAGGGGCCCAAGGCCGGCGCTCGCTGCCCCACGGGTTGCCTCACCCCCGACCCCCGCGCACTCACGGCTGTCATGGCCGGCTGCCGCGGCTCCCTGCGTGGCATCCTCCCCGGCACGGAGCAGGCGGCTCAGCCCCTTCATCGCTGCTCTCTGGCTCCTCTTCCTCCTCACCCAAGGGAAGGGGCCGCAGGCCAGGGCGCCGAGGGAGGTGCCCTGAGCTGGCCCCGACAAACCGGTTCCCAGGGCGGTGAGTTGACTGGAGTTTGTTTTACAAGAAACCAGGAACTAAACACACAGAATTTCTTGATAGTAGCTAGGCACCGAACAGGATCACCCCTGCACGATCCTCCCCATGTCTTCTCTAGCAGCTAGCCTTGCATGCAAATAGCAATTTGCACCTAGAAATGCACACACCGGACAAAAAGGTAGTCCGATTTGCTCCTGGAGTGCTCACCAAACCATCACACAAACAAGAGGTGCTTTTGAAAAGCAATGCCACAAGTACACACGTACAGACACAGGAACATCACAGCTTGCATAAGGCCCCTGGAGCCAGGTGGTTTGTTACTAACTGCAGGGTAGTCATGGAGCTCTCTCTGCAGGCTGAAGGCCGCTTTGGGGAAAGCTCCTTTTGAGAGTTATTCTCATTGTTGTTGACCAGCATTCAGTGGACTGGAGTGAGTGATTGTGCCTGTGCCCTGCAAGCTTGTCACAGCCTTGGGATGTGAGAGACTGAGATGCTTCTGCCGTGAATTTGGGCAGAAATACACATATGCAGTAGCAGTATTGATCCAATCACAAGACTCTTCCTTTTGAGACAGACAATACTTTCATTTGGTTTTGTCCAAGTCCAGTCAAAATCAATATACGCATTCCAGAGGTCCAGTTCTTGTGAACTCACATATCAAGATCCATGTAATCTACCTACTTCTCAATTTATCTTGAAGTCCACTGTTGCTCTGGTCTACTTCAGCCAGCACTGGTATTTCATTTCATGTAGTCAATGATTTTCTGAAATAGGGCATAAAAATTGTTTAAAGTGACTTAGCTAAATTTTAATTTTAAAACAGCCTTTGATATTGTTAACATTGCAAAATAAATATTGGAAAAGCAGCTCCAAGAAGGCAGGACCAGCCTTACATAACTGAAGCCACATTTGAGGTCCTTCACTGATTTTTTCTTCATAATTAAATTAGTGTCATCTTAACTTCCAAGATTGTTAACACTGTACATGTCCATGGTAAAATTAATCTGAAAGACTCAAAGAGTTTGTAAATTGAGCAAATTTGGATACAAACTATTCTCATACATGAGTAGATTTCACAGTTTCTTTCTCTTTTAAACATTTTTGATACAGTCAGGCTGTGGTGAATACGAATCTTTACCCCTGATACACCTTGGCTGATAAGACAGTTTCGTCAACTGTACTTCCAGTAGATGAATGTTACTCAGAAAAAAAAAAAAAAAAACAAACAAAAAAACCAAACCAACTTGAAAATAGACCCAGAGTGAAAAGAACAAGTAACTGATTTACCTGTAGCTGAATCATGGAGGTTTCACTTTTTCTTGCTTCCAGTGAGTCAAATGTTCCAGCGAAACTTCTTGAGAGTTTTATTTCTGTACAGTGGCAGGGCTAGTAATCCAGACCCACTGTTTGCAATATTAATGCTCCTTTTCAAAATGAAAGACAACAGGTAACTGTGGAATGATTACGTTTGCCTACAAAGCTGGCACCAAAGGAGGAATAGATCTGTAGCCTCATAGAGCACAAGTTATAGTGTGATTCTTTAAACTAGGATCATAATTTTACGTAGTCTGGAAACACCAGCTGCTAGTTTACAGTTCTAATTACTATCATGCAATACACATACAATTCACAGTGTATCTCTGGTCTCTTAACTAACTTTGTCAGCACAAATATACTTTATGTGCTCAAACTTTGCAAATAGCAAGTTTACCACATTCTCTGCAGCAGCCTGCAGAAAAAAGACTGATGCAGAATCTAACAGACATGCAGATTCCAGAAGAAAGTGCAAAGCGAGGGAGTACTTGAACATCTTCCTCACTTGCCTTCACAAAGTGCTCTCACTGCCAGGAGCTCAGAGAATTTTAAAAAAATATTTAAAATAACAATGGTAATAAATACATAAACAAGTAGAACCAATATAAAGAAAAAAACCGCAAAGTAGGACAAAAACATGTTGCGTGGTGCATAGAGAAAGAGTAACAAGCAAAAATTATGTTCTATAAAAGGTGAGATCTGAAGATAAAAGTCAAGGTAGCAAGTATTATGTTTTTATTATACTGTGTACTTTTTATTGGAAGTATGAAACTCCACAGGATTCTGAATCCCATAGTGCACAAATTGTTGGCCTGTGCAACTGTAGCACCTTACAGTTACCCTCATTCCTCTCCCCACCCTTTATGGTTACAGCTACCTGTTCCCACTTGCCTTTGAGTCGTAATTAGAACAATTAAATGGAAAGGCCCAGTCTCAGCAGGTGCTTACATATAAAAACATCCATCAGAAAAGACATGGCAAAGATGCCCAGAACATCAGCTGGCCAAAAAACTTGGGCACTTAGAGGCTGCTACCTAGGCTCACTTGTAGGCAGTATGATTCTTGATAGCTCCAATCCTCTACTTGGATCTGCATACTACAGTGTGAGTGAGACAGGGATGTGCTAAACCATCCCAAAAATATTTCCAACATGGATCAAGCTACAGGCAGAGCAATTCAAGCCCAAACTGTTCTGCCTATGTTCCTGTGGCTTACTGACACTTCAGAGTGGAACTTGAGCAACTCTGAGAACAAAACAGTGTCAGCTGAAGTATTTATATATTCTCAACAGGAAAATTTCTAGAAATAAAGATTTTGAGACACCCAGACCAGACAATAACAAACAAAATTAGTCAGTGTGATATCCAACCACATGAAGACATTCTGTAGGCAAGGTATTTCAAAACTCAAAAAGAAATGAAGATATTGCTGTAGATTGCAGTAAAATGATTCATTAGGAAAATGCTATTCTACAGCCTAAGTTTTTGGGTATTGAGGATTTACAAGACAAATCCAAGCAAGTCTTGTTCTTAGGGGTGTATCTCCATATATCTGTATATGTTTACATGGCTGCCTGCATTCCTTCCTTCAGAAGTGGTAGAGAGAACATAAAGATCACAGAAATGTCATCCTTTTCTCTATCATTCATAACTAAAAGACGAATTCAAGATAAAGTATATATGTCCACCTTAAGTACGAGAGATACACTACATAAAAATTCTCATCTGCTGCCAACCTAGATCATTCACATGCTTCAGAACAGTGGATATAGTAAATGTGGAATGGCTAACACAGCGGAAATAATTTATATATTAAGTTAAACAGAGCTATAAAGCCATTTCCAGATGTCAGTGAAAACAGGTTTTAAGTTAAGGTCAATTATTTAACACACACACTCCCCAAGAAAAATGCAAGACAGAAACACTGCTTACAGTCTTCTCCACAAGATCTGAGATGAAAAATCACATCACAGAAGTTTATAACAATACTTAATCATGTACTGAAGGTCTTCTTCAGGTAAAAACAGTAATAAATGTGGTATAAGAAACTACAAGGAATAGAAAAAAAAATGCTTGTTTTTCACTGCAGTAAATAATTCACATGGAAAACACTAAAGTATCTCACTGAGCACTATCTGTAAACACACTGAATCTCCTTTCCAAAAGGTATGTTTTTACACACATCTCAAAAGACAGACATTTCTGGCTTTAGAATCATACTGTGAATTTTATTTCTACATTAACTCTAACATACTCGACTTTAACTTCATGACATTCAGATAATCTATGACACCTTTTTTCTTAAACAGATGGTAAGATAACTTCTGAGGCCAAGCCAAACCAACTTCATTTGTTCAAGCACTTACAAGTAGTTTACTTTTTGCTAAATAATGTATACGTAAAAATACACATTTTAAAGAAATACACACAAGGACAAGGTAACATTTAGATTCTACACTTTATTGAATCAGACAGATACATACTAACACAGGGACAGGTATTCACTTTCTAAACAGCAGTGATAGCTTAAGTCATTGTTCCCTCAGTTGCTTTTATGTCTTTCCCACCAAAAGTTTCCAGCTCCCACCTCTGTCAACAGAAGAGCTTATGCTGAATGCTCACTGACCTGGTTCAGAAAAAGTCAACTGAGTCAGCTTACACAGTCTGAACTAGTCCAGCTGATTTGGTCCAAAGCAGATACAGGAGCACTAACATGAATGCAAATGATAGAACTGTGGGTACAGTGGCATCTGGCAAACAAACAGATGAGCAGGAAGAGATGGTGAAATTATTCCAGCAAGTTTGGAAACAAAGCAGCACATTCTGGACTTTGCCTGGGCATCTAAAACATACCTGGTACACATTTGTTTGTTTAAAAACAAGCAAATGCCAAAGTGCTTCCAGTACAGTTAAACAACACAACAGATGCCTCTATAGTAGCCACTTCTTTTAAAGATTCTGCAATTAAAAAGTAGTTCATATTTCATACAGGGTTTGGCATTGTATAACTTATAAGAAATATGCTGTCATAAATTATTAGCCTCATAAATATTTAATTATAATAAGATGTCTACATTTAAGCAATTTGGTGTGAACAGAAAAAAAACCTAAACAGAGTATTTTAAATATTTGCACTTTACAACTTTCTCCTTCCACATATGCAATCGTAAAATATTGTTTATTCAGAAATACAAAGTAATTTAAAAGAGAAAGATAGGTAAACAATAAGAAGGTTCAGCATCTTGCATATTTGCACATCATTCTTACTGTTATTGCACCATGAGACATTTTATTCAGATCAAACTTAGTACTACTGACCAGTAACAATTTCACAATTGCGAAGAAAATCAATGTTCTTGGTCTCTTTGGAAAGGTCAAGGGTCAAACAGCATTTGTCTGACTAAACTGGCGGAATTCTCTCACCAGAAGTTTTATTAACATTTTTTAAATCAGTGAAGTCATCCTGTATCTCATCACAATGAGTCCTTCAGGGTTAGTCCATCAGCTCTTAATGAAGTCATTTCAGTGACAACAATGAAAGCTTAACTATGCTCTACATTCTTGCTCTTTTCTTTTGAAACTGTGAGACCAATCCATTTTTGTGTCTACTGAGAAGACAGACATTTACAAGCTGAAATCAAGCAACTCAGCTCTTCTTTTTTATCACACAGCTAATACCGCAATTCAATTTGGTGTTGAACTGCCCAAGGAAGTGTCACAGACTGAACTACTATAGCTACTACAGCCAATACAATCAACAGCGAAGATGGCAGGTCAAGTGTGGGAAGAGCGACTTAGGTAAGCACAGTGTGGCACCCTAGCTAATGATTCCTGCTTTCTAGGGAGCTCGCCCTACAGGCTTGCTAAATGGCAGCTCTAATCTCCCTGTTCTGTTTGCTGAACAGCAGAGAGAAGTCATGCTAAATTGATCTGCAGTCATAAAACACTGTGAAATACTTCATACAGAATATGTTGTTACACAGTTATTTAAAAAACATTTCAATTGTATGCTTGGAATTGCTCGACTTGGCCTTTTTTGATACTGACTGTGAACTTGTGAGTCCAGACCTAAAGTTAAAGAAAGAAAAGAAAACACCAGTAAGAGGTTAAAATACACAATGTATACCTATGCAACTTTTACAACACTGAATATTTTTCTATACTTTATTATTTAAAGATGAGTTGTGTATTGAAGTTTCCAGAAAACCCTTACCTTTTTGCTCCTTGTGACGGATTTGTGCATTGCTGTCCTCTGCTTAAACCTCCTAAAAAGTGGTTGGAAACAACCACAATTAATTACTTCAATAAAGAAAGAATGCTTCAGAAACAACATACATGACAACTTTTAAAAGAACAGGTTTTGGTAAAGCTTTTCTTCCCACCCTTCTTTTTTTTAACATAACTGAATTTAATCTGTCTCAAGGAGCGGACAACATTTTATTACCTGCAGTTTGAGTACTGTAGTTTATATTAATATTTTTTAAAAGAGAAAACCAAAAAGCCTTCAATTTATTGAATTCTAAGGGATTAATTTGAACCCTGCTGCAGTTTTCAGAAATATTTCAGCATAATGTAGTTGATTTTCAAGGTGGTTGCTGAAAACGGTATTTTTAATTTTTACATCCTGCAGAAGAAAAAAGAATCTCTGTCAACAGTAAGTTTTTAATTTAAAACAAAGCCTGTTTTCACATGTAACAATACTGCTTATAAAATTTTTTATGTAAAAGATCCATATTGTAAGTCTTAATTGTGTTCTGATAATTCGAACACACTAGCATTTTAATTTCCTCTTATAAAGCTCCCAAGTGAGATTAGGGACACTGTCCTTTAAGCAGACTACATGCACATGTCCTCTAATCTGGCCAAAGATTAACTCTTCACCAAGCCCAGAAACTACTTGAATAAATATGCTACTGATATGGAATGTTACAGGTGCAGTTATGTATTTTATTAGATGCAAACCACGCCTGCAAGTTCCTGCCTTTATGCTTTACTTCACCACCTCTCCTGTTTTTGCCAGCCTATTATGTAATGGACCTTTTCTGTCAACTGAATCTCTGAAACAGTCCAGGTTAAAGATGTTTTCATTGATTTTTCACTTAAATCCCAGTGGCTTTACAAACATTTTTCTGAACATGGCTGGGAGTAGCAAACACGCCATTTAGAGAAATGAATGGAAATTCCTATGCCATTGCCACCATTGTGATAAATGAAAATGCACTGTGTAACTACCATCACATTCATAAATTTAGTTTGTCATGAAAACTGATTTGATATTTTTTTAAATAAAAATGTTCACTCTTACACAGGCCTTACACAAATTAAATTGTTGCAAAAAAAAAAGGCTCTGAAAAGTTCAAAGTATACTGTTACCAAATTATTTTAATTGTACAAGAAATACAACAGTCCAATTGCAATTCAATAATTTGAATAATCAAATATATCCTACCAGTGCCTACTCACCAACTCTGTTTGAGTTTTCCATATTATAAGTCTTAGTAGGAAAATCTTTTTTTTCTGTCAGCTGCTTGATAAGTCCTTTATTTAAGCAGACGTCCACGTGTCTGTTAAATGACACAAGACTGCTGGTTTTCTGTTCTGAATTACAAACTGGACAAACAAGAACACTGTCTTCTTTGGCTTCAAAGAAACAGGATGAACTAGTTTCTTCTGTATGTTCAGTCTTTTCAAAATGGTCTTCCTTGTCTTGTGAAATTCTTTTGGTGAAGAGACAATATTTCATACACGCGTTTCTAGCAATATCACTGAGATTGCTAGGCTGTCTTCCTCTGTGACGTGTGTCGGATATTATCTGAGTGAATTTTTCTGTGCTATTGCTAGTAGAATTGTCAGATGTACTTGCACACTCATCTGTTCCTGCTAATTGATCTGTTTTATTTTTTTGACACTCATCAACATTTTCATTTTTAAATTGGGGAAGAAAGTTAAGTGTATTTTCTCTTGAATTGTCATTCTTGGATATTTCCATAGTACCTTTAACAAGAGTCCTATTGAGGCATTCATCAATATGCCTATTAAACTCTTCCAAATTGTTGCTGCTTTGCTCCTCGAAGCAAACAGGGCAGGTGAAGATCTTACACGTATCAGAATTATGTAAGTCTTTGACTTTCTTTGTTTCTTCCACAGAATTTGCTGATGTTTTCCTATCATGAAAGAGCTGCTTACCTACAGTTTCATTTGGAGATAGAGTCTCACTGTTTAGCTGCCTTGCAGCTCGCTTTTTATCAAAAAAACTCCCTCTGGGAGATGCTTCTGAATTTTTGCTGAGGTATTCTTGGTTAGACTTCCCTGGCTGAAGCCTAAGAAAACCAATTTCTTTTCCTGACTTCAAGAAACTTGTAATGCTTTTTTGTTGGTACTTCTTCTCTTCTTCACTTAGAAATCCTGATACTCGTACACCTAATGATGGAGAAATTTTTAATACCAATTTCATGAGAAGTTGATACTAACTCTTAATTAACACCTTTTGAGGTATACCTCCACTCAATAAAAGTGCATTTTATTTCTAAAAGGAGGCTATACTACCTGCAAATGCTAATAATGGGTCACAAGGTCCATACAATTTTATCAGAACCAAACACTTCCCCAACCATATTATTAATTTCAATACCCATGTAGTTTTAACTGACTGCACCATAACATAAGGCTATAAACTTAATACAGTTATACAGAACTCAGTCTGAAAGAGAGTCTTGCGTAGTTTCCCCACCAAAATATTTTTTCTTCAGTGCATTCTAATACCATAAACAAGTAAGTTTTATGTATCACTGAATGGTTCAAGCAGAATGTATAAGCACCTGAAACACACAGATCTTGGAATCAAAACACAATTTACTTTAGACAGGAATTTTCAAATTTCTTGCAGAATATAGCATCTTCAACTCTATATGCACTTTTATTTAAAGTATTTGTTTCTAAAAGAGGTTATGGACAGAACTACCTGTTGCTGTGGTGCAAAGCAGATTTAAAAGCTCTTTTAAGTCAGCAGAATTAAGCATTGCTATGCATTAAGATTCTACTCTCATGCTGATGTGTAAGTTGTTCCAGGGCTAACAGGTGATAGGAAAAGTACAACCTCAATTAGTAAGACATTCCTGAGTCACCATTCCACACTCCAGACCTGTTTCACTTTGTAAAACCTACCAGGATAATGGAGAAAGGATAAATCCATTTATACTAATTTTACTTCAGAGTACAGCCTATTACTTTGATACACTATAAAATCTAACTCTGAAAACTAAGAATGAGTTTGAAATATTTTACCCATAAGTCTTATCCGTAAAGGGTGAGGAGCAACACTGTCAATTTCTGTTCCTAACAAGTCCTTAGCAACAGCAAATATTTCCTCCTCAGTAGAAACAGAAGACAGTACAGTTGAAGCTCTCGTTTTTACTTCAAAGTTCACATTCTTTAGCTTCAAGGTAACAGTTTTACCCTACGTAAAAAAAAAAAAAAAAAAAAAAAGGATGAAAAAGGTTAAACATGTCATATACAGCACAGAAACAATTATTATGTAGCATCTACATAAGGGTCCTAAAGCCATAGTCAAGTCTGTGTGCTTATCTCTGTATGGCAAGGGGTACTGACAAGAATGTGTCTGCAAGATTCTGCACTTGCTCCTAAAACTGCTGCCAAAGTCGAGTTCTCTGAACTGGGTCATTTGGCTGTGGTTCCCAGCAGACCATCTGCCACCAATGCATGTTCAGTAGATTTCATGCTCTGACTACAGTCAAAATGCCTACCCTGTCTACAGAAAATTATTTCTTCAGTTGGGAAACTTTCAGTGCCAGATATCTTAACTTTGCTGGGAAAAGTACTAAGGATGCGTTAGTGATACTTTGTTAAGGATTGGCTGAAAACTTCCTTCCTCCTGAATGGTGCTATCAGAGCCACACACAGCATCCGTGTTTGGCACAGATATTCCCCTGGCAACACCTTCCAGACGACTTGTGTGATTTAGCATGTCCATCCAAATGTAAATAATGGCACTCCTTTTGTTCTGGTGCCTTTGTAAGCTTATCCCTTTTTGTCCTTCTTAGCTGATGATTTCCCTTTCATCCTGTCGTCTTTTGAGACAATCTTTTATGGCTGAAGAAGACTAATCACAATTCTTTTATGTCTTGAAAGTTATTCCTTGCTTTATCACAAAGACCTCCACAGAAAATATGAACTGTTCTTTCCAGATAATAAACAGAAATTTGGAGAGAAGGAATACAGGGACTATTCCTACCATTCAGACCATTCAATGGTATGAATAACTTGTCAGCCAGTTTGGCATATGTGAGCTTCTTAAAATACGCTACTGGCTATTAACTGGATCTTGTATGAAAACAGGAGAGAAAGACAATGTTTTAAATATATTAATATTACACAATTGACCAAAGCACAGCTCTTAGACAATCAGCTCTGTTATTTGTTTATAAACATTGCTTTTAGCATAAAATGTTTATATGCTAAATAACTTGATCATACAGTTTTAATTTTTTCCATGCATTAGTTATATTTTTTCTATATCATTAGCCACCTAAACAATATCAAAATGCTGCCTAAATAATTCTAAACATCTGCGAATTAAAGAATGAAAACTTCTGAAGATAGACTGCATGGTATAATGCTGCTGAAAGCATTCACACTAACACTGCACTTAGTAAGTTTGACTGCAAAGTGTTGTCTTTTTGCAAGTAAACAGAGAATAATGTAAATACCTTAAGTCCCTCTTTCTGTAGCTCTTGCGCAAGGTCTCTGCAGAGTTCTCGACACAAGATGTACTGGTCTTCTGCTGTGTTTATTTCACTGAATGTTCTAAAATAAATATATGATTTTTTTTTTTCAGTATGAATGCTAAAATTTGTTCAGTGGCTGCCATCTAAAAGTATTTTTTGTACAGTTAAACAGAACTATATCAGAAGAAAGTTGTACAGGTTTGACTATTTACTTCAGGGAAAAATGAATATTGATATGAATATTATATAGAAAGATTTGTGCACATTTATGTCTTTCAAAATATTTGCAAAGCCCCTGAAATAATGAAGCAATTTTGCTTTAAATTTTTCATGCACTATTTGAAAATGTATCAGATTTAAGGTCATTAACGCTTAAATATTTGCAAGAGAGAATACTAACACCAATTGAATTCATGTAGCCAGCCAAGTTATTTGTATCTAATCTCCTCTGTACAGTGCTATGGAACATCAGAAGAAAGAAAAGATTAAAAAGTCAACATCAGAGCCAAGCATCAGAAATAAATAATACAGATGCTAAGAAAAAGATACCAGCTAGGATAATGATGCTTAGCCTCAGAAGAGGAAAAACTATCTATCTGCCAAAAATGCTGTTAACTGCCTCTGCTAGAGCTTCTTTGCAGGGGAATTACAGTATTATTTTTTTGTTGTGCATCTGCTTTTTAGTAATAGTATGAGAGGAAAGGCAACCTTCAGTTATTATTGGTTTTAAGGGAAGTGGGAAGCAAAAATTACAGCTACCAGATGCTTTTGGAAAGGTCTCACAGATCCACTGTTTCACGACAGACTTTATATTTACGAGTGTCAAGTCCCTACAGTTACACTGGATTTCACATCTCTGAATTATATTCAGGTTTATCCGATAGTATTGAAAAGTCATGCTCTATTATGATTCACATTCTCCTAAGAATGTTTGCATGCTGACACACTAACAGGATGAGTATTTTACTGTGGGTCCCATGCCATTATCCAAGGAGTACCTCATGTTATCCTGGCAATGCTGCAGTGATTTACAGAATTGCAATACTGTAATAATTGGGAAGCTGTAAAAGTCCTAAGTTTGGAAGTGACCGGATAAAGAGAATGCTATTTCAGGCCTGTCTTTTTCCCCCCATATAAACTACTTTCATGATCTCAGCAGCCCACTGATGTCTCTGGTCCAAAACCATTTACCTTAGGGAAAAAAGAAGGAAGAAAGAAAAGTACTAAGGTACAAAGGTACCCAGTACTGGCCTGCCTGCAAACCAGCACAAGACTACGGACATAAATTTCTCAGTTCTGGTGGTACCAAACCTTGCGGGGCTTCCTTAAGCTGCCCACAGCTATTAAGTCTCAATAGGAATAAGAATCTTATCTTCTTTTCTGAGAACAAATGAGGGTAGGGATAACTATTACTGTACTCTACAGATTCTCCTTGCAGAATTTCCTTTTTAAAAATGAACTTCTGGAAATTACATACAGCACCTTCTTCAGGAACTTTATACTGGTAAAACTTAAAAGTTAGGAAATGTAACCAATTTTAGTTAACCATGCAAAATTACTGTCTCCTTTGCAAGTCTACCTGATGCTGTATTTGCTAGGCATTTGACTGTGGGCTAATAGACTGATATTGACATTAAACTGGAACGTAAAGAAAAATTCCAGCCTTTATATATTTCCACCCTATATTACTGCTTAAAGACCACTTTGATGCATTAAAGGCATTAAGAGAATCTGATGATTAGAAAAGAGAACACACAAACCGACAGAAATACCTCCATAGTGTTCTGAAGCCAAGGGAGAAAATAGTGAAAGCTTGCATCTGACTTAGTGAGCTTGTTGTGTATGTGTTTTTTCAACACATATAAATACACAATGAAATTATATGACTAAGAAAAGTATACATTACCTGACATTAAACAGGTTTAGTGATTAATGTAATTTTTTTCCAATATTAAAGCATACCTTTCAGTGCTCATACTTTTTCTTTCTCCATCCCTTTAAAAAGAAAAACAATTTATTATATTTACTTTACCTAGAACTGTTATCTTTTCAATAAACTGAGTCAACCAAGCATGCTTCAATAACTAACAGCAGTCTATTATGTAAAATCTGGATGTTAACTTTTTCTACAAATCTCACACAGTAAGTTTAAACGAGTGCAAAATGGAGCATGTTTTTTTAAAAAACCCCTAAAACTACTGTAGATGAAATAAAGACAGATCAGCCAGAGACATCAATAAAAATAAACAGTTTGTAAAAAAAAACCAAAACACTACAAATCCTATACTGTCTCATCTAGCTATAACTGTGAAGCATTGCTATTAAAATCCTGAACATACTATGTATATTTGAATATTTGTTTATCTGAGGAATTAGTTTAATTTCTGTCCGAACTATTGTCCACGTTAAAGGGGATGTGTTAAGGCTTTTTTTTTGTTTCTTTCTTTATGGTTTTGAGCATCCTTTAACAACTCTTCTGCATATAAGGAGTTCCTCAGAGCATTTTCTTTTTAGGTGTTTCTTCTGTTTGTAAGTATTGGAAATAAAAAATGTGGTATCCTCAGCTTTTCCTAAAAGAAGGTGATCAAAGACAATAACACAAGATCAACCATGTACTGAGGACTCAGGTGTTGATATGTTAAAGGCTTACTTTCTGCACACAAAAATCACTGAAATCAAGTTGGTGCTAATAAAAACAAAACCAAGAAACAAATTTCTTAGACAAAACCATTAAAAATGTGTTCCGCTTCACAATTATAATCCTGGCTCTTTAAATGCTCCTTTTTTTATATGTATATACATATAAGTACTGGGAGACTTCCCAGACTGTACAACACCTAAACAGGGTAAATATGGGGAGAGGGTGCACCAAATATTAAAGGACCAATTTGAAGTTGCATTATCTTAACAGAAACAAGTATTTGGAAAAACTCATTTTATCTTCTATCAAGTCACCTTCACAAAGTCAATATGGCTGCATATTTTGCTTCAAGTCAACATATTTCTGAAAAGAAAACAAAAAAACCCAAACCCACGATTTTTGCCAGCACATTGATGGTCTACAAACTGCTAACTGTATATATTATTTTGTAGTCGAATGGAAAAAATGGAAGATTTATTAGTGTCAGAGAAGTAACAGAAGTAATAAGGAATAGGTCCTTAAGAAATATATATGACACTTTGGAACTCCTAGTAAAAAAAATCATTGTCAAGTCATTTTTAAATACAATTTCATCACTTTGGGAAGGATAGAAGAATATTTAGGGAAGGAACATTTAAAACAAATCCTAAATTAAGACTCTTGCTTACACAAACCACAAAATCCTATTTTTTTTTTTTTTTTTAAGAACAAGCATTCTTGCATCCAGGACAAGTTTAGAAATTATGCCTATTATTGAAAAGATATATTCACCAGTAAGACTGATTTCTTTCCTCCCAAACAGGAGGCTAAAAAGCCATTAAAGTCGTATTAACTTTAAAGGAACAGATATGAAGAAGGATGTAAAAATCTTGTTCTATTCCAGCAAATTCACAAGTTGCTATTACAAATATGTACATAAATACAATAGGAGACACAGAAACTTCACTTATTTACCAATGAATGTGTATTGTTTTTAGAGAAGAAACAAGACTGGACACCTCTTCTTAGGATTACTAATTTCTCTTTAGCTAGTTTAGTAATTATGAGGTTATCCTAAATGATACTGACTTGATTTCTTGATATACATTTATGCACAACTTCTCTGAGAGACTTTTTTGATTTCATGTACTAGACATGTCTGTACAAACTTTTGCTTTTTAATGTTTGGCTGCTGTGTGTATCTTAGTCTTAAGTATAACCATTACAGATATTAGAGATATTTTAAAATACACTAAAACAAGTCAAATTTTCGTAATATTTGTCAATAAATTAGGTCTTAAAATGTATAGTATGTAACATATAAAGGAAGAATTTAGAAAAATATAACCAAGGAGAAAAAAAACCCAAAACATACTTTTCCAAATGTGTTGGACCCAAACCAAGGGAAATATCCAAGAAATTACGCCAAGATGCTTCTGAAAAAAGAAGAGAAAGTAGTGCCCTCTGCTGGTAAAGTTCTGAGCAAGTCACAATTCCAAGAGCTTTTAACATCTTCTCTGTTACTTTTCCTATACCTGGCACCTGAAAAATAATAAATATAATGTTGGAAACCTCCCATTTTTAGATCCAATACCAAGAACAATTTAAATCAAACACAACTGGGCAGATTACCTACAAAAGTATTGTTTTTCGGTAGAAATCTTGCTTTTAGAATATAAGCAACATACATGATTGCAGAGTAAATGTCATGGTATCTCTTACCTTTCTAATGGGCAAATCTTTTAGGAAGTCTAGCACTGCTTGTCTCTCAGGAGGAATTCTGCATTGTCCATTAGGTTTATTACGATCACTGCACATTTTTGCTAACATTGTGTTCGGTGCTATTCCTTAAAAACAAACAAAACTCTTATTTCTAAAAAATGCAAGACAGTGTTTAACTGTCCAGTATTTAAAAGCACAAGAGTAGCCTACACATTTGTCAAAGACTAAACATAAGCAAAAGAATGATAATAACTGATAACCAGACTAGTTAAAATTCTACAAGATAATTTTGTAATAGACATGTGAGCACATAAATACATGTGGAGGATTAAATATAACGGATACACCAGATAAAGCGTACCTAATATCTGAAGACAGTCAGAGTAACACAACGTGCTATAATCAGTTGTGAGGGGTTAAATACCAAGTGTTTAAAAATAACATCAGTTACATGATTGAACGATTTTCTGATGCTGATTACAGTAAGACAAAAGGAAATGCTTACAAAGACTGTTATAATGAACTCTTAATGAGAAGGAGGTATTTGTTCCTTGTATTTCAGCAAAAAGACTGAATTAATCTTGTCAAAATTTACCAAATTAAAGTCTTTTGTGGGCTACCACTATGAAGTCATTTAGAAATATATATATATTTCACTGACATTGGTGCGGAGAGATTGCTCTTATCTATCAAACTAACTGTGTTTACAAATGAGCTCTGGAATTAGTTTAGCAAGAAAAATAGAATTATTCTGTGTTACAGGCCTAGAGGACTAAATTTTGATTTGCTCACTGATGTGGTGTATTATTCAAGATGGTAGAAGCAATTCTATTTATTGTTGATTATCAGTATTTTTTCAATTAGCCTTCTAACTGTTTTTAATTTGGGGGCTTAAAACCCCTGATGCACTTATAAAAGCTGTGTCTGTTTTGTAAACACTAACTTAGGAAGGCAAAATTTCAGTAGAACAAAATGATTATTTTGCTACCACCCATGAGATAACATACATGGGAGGGGGGGGTCTCATCCTGCTTCTTCCTACTAGCTTTTTTTTTACTGCTGCTTACACTCAACACTGCCCTGGCCTGCCTTCCACATCTGCTTCATAAAGCTCAGCACTCCCTGATGCCTCACTGACCTGGTTCACAAAGCAGTTCAGGTGGCATCCAAAACAAGTGGCTAGGGATTTACACTTTTTTAAGTGATCTAATCCAGATTATTATCAAAACAGTTGAGATTTACAGGTAGGTTGCCTGAAGTCGAAAGACAGAAAACTTGAATGGTATATATTAAAAAGCTAGTGAATAGTTTATTAACTTTAACACACATTTACTTTTCTGAGAGCTAATTTTTAAATGAATTTTGATATTGACTTAAGCAAGGAACAGTGTGGAGAACTGTTAGAAATACTGAACAACATGGATCTGCTATTCAAACTAACAGCAATTTAGCAAACAGTGTCAGATTTAACTATGACCAGTGGCTTACTATAAAAATTTACAAGTATTAAAACAACAACCACTGGTGCCAAGATTAGCTCTGAGCACACTGGTCATTCTTTCATACTATTTGTATTTCAAGAAGAAAGAAGCAAAAAGAAGATATAACTGTTTCTGTGATTAGATACTGAAACAAAACAGCAGTGGCTTTGATAGACATAACATCTCTGGAAACACTTGAAAGTCACAGTCTCTGTAAACTTGCAAAGAGATCATATTTCTTTGCAGCACAACAATGCTGTGGAAATGCTCATTTATTAATTAATGTGCTCTGAGATTAGAGTAGAAGACACCATGGAAAGACAAAGCATTGTTATGTGTCATGTGTTATTGTCATGTGTGTCTGAATACCTGCACTAGCAGTCAGTTGAGTTTTCTGCTCAATCCTAAAGCGAATTTCCTTCACAACTTCTTCTGCAGAAGTTCCAAAGACAACTGAATTTTCCACTGATTGATCTCTTTGCTCAGGGTGGTCATCTATCAGAGGTGTGCTGTCTTCAAACAGTACTGGTGAAGAAGAGTATCCACCTTCATTAAATTTGGCAGCCATATTTATATCATCTTTGTCTATGTTAGACAGAAATACAAACAATTAATCCATCATACAAAACATACACTTTACTGATTTCCTTCTGCAGTGGCTAAATAGAGTTCATTAGCAGTTTTAATTTTTCTGTCTGGAGAAAAAAAAAATATTTAGCCAAAGCAATTGCATTGCTTTTGTTGTTTGAAGAAAGGAGAGTCATAACTGCTTTGTTCTTAATATGATTTGAGCTTGGCTGAGATTGTAAGAATTGGCTAGGAGACTGGACATAACTTCCAAAAAAGCAACAAGGTTTAATGGCCTGTTGCAGCAGAAAAACATCAAAATTTTGGCATTATTTTTGTTTCATATGAGAGTGAAGGCTAGACGCTCCCTTTTTTGGTTGAAGTAAAAATCTTTTGCAGAATTTTTTTCGATATTCTCTGAAGAGAATTAGGGTCCTGGAATATCTGGTTCTAGAACCATCAGCCTGCTGAGCTTCTTGTTTACAACTGCATTCATGATAGAATGAGTCACATCAGCAGCCCTTTGTCTGACTCCACAAACTTTCTATTATGGTTTCACATTCTGAGTGCTTGTTTGTGTTTCAGAAGAACACGGATGTCAGAGAAGTATGAAGAGGCACATGATTACATATTGCTGATATTTACTTTGTTACGACTACGCCAGTTTGTTTCTTTCTATTCTATTAATGCTTTTCAGCAGTAGTGTATCCCTGATTATCGTCTTAATGGCCATTTACATAATTTTTCAACACTGATAATAAAAATGTTCTGGTTTGTTCATTAATCAACCAATCGTATGACTCCTTCTTTTTTATTATTCCCAATTGGGCATACAGTTGTGGATGTGGTTCCAACTCCATCTTCTAGAGTCAACTGAAATCCAGTCATATCTTAAGCACTACTGTAACTCCTGCTGTGCTCATTACACATTTTTAGTCCTTTAAAATAATCAAGTAACTAGAACTTATGCACACTATCTTTGCAGGCAATTTCTCATAATTCTGATGTACCAGACTCACTATAGTATTTTAGGAAACATCTTTGCGAAATACAAACAACCTTTAGAACAATAAATTTAGTCTACGCCACCTTAAACCACAACATTATTACTACTTATCTGCAAAATTATCATTTGAATTGCAAAGGAAAAATACACACCTAGAACACACAATTGGGTTTAGTAAACCTAGTACCACTTCTCACACATTTTACTCAAGTTAAAATAAAAATGGAATCCTTCAAGTCCAAATCATTAGCTGTATACCTTTCATGCATGGGTGAGTAGCAGAGAAAGTTAATCTGTAAACTAACAAATTGGAGGTAGACAGAATATGGGAGGACAAATTATGCAAGGACTTCAGTATCTACACTTTCAATGGGTGCAGCTTATCTGAAGTTTACATTATATGCAGGTGTAACTGGTACCCGCTGCTCCCAACTCTGGTAATGTGGTTAGAATAACTAATGCCATTTTAAAGGGCAATCAGCCATTCCCTGTGACCAACCAGGTCACACACTCGTTCCCTTTTCCCCGCCTCCCCCGTTATCAGGCCCTGGAGGTCCTGTGCACCAACTGGACAAACCAGATTTCTCCTCCCCCTCCCTACTGGCCTCAAAGCTCCTGGGCACCAGGCCCATTACTAAGCCCTTCCTTGCCTGCCTTGAAGGCCCCAGGCACCGGCCAACCCCGCGGTGTTGGTGGCCCCGCCACAGATCAGGGAAGCCTAACAGCACCCAGAGCACTGTCTGTAAAACCAAGCAGGTACAAGTCCTAAGGGGGAACTTGGACCAGAACTGCTGCTGGACTGTGAGACCTGGGACCCACCGGTGGCCGGGGATGCCTCCACTGCCGTCTGCTTCCTCCAAGGACCGAGGGAGTGACTTGTATTCTTCTATATGGTTTTCAAGTCTACATTATCGAGTGATTGTTATACTGATACAGCAAACCATGTATTAAGATTTGACCTGATCTGCAGAGGACCCAAGTGGTTAGAAATAGTAAGTTAAGTTGTATTATAAATTCTGTATTTTGCTACTTACAGTCTATACCACATTGATTCTGACTATAGAAATCCTGTGCCATTATAATCATAAATTCTCTGCTATACTAATCATAATTTCCTGTCAAGAAAATAAAGCTTAAATTGTAACTACAATTCAGTGTCATCATCATTCTGCCAAGGATTCCTAAAAGAAACCATCTGTCCCCTCAGTGTCAGGTGACCGCATAAGAAGAGAGTAATTTGCTTACTTTTTTCCATAGTGCTTTCTGTGTTAAGAAAGAATCTTCTTTTATCTTCAGGCCAGTTCAGTCTTTCCTCCAAATGCTCTGTTATGTTCAGGTAGGCTTCATCTAGGCCCATAGGCATAAAATTGGGATCATATTCAGTCAGTATTTCTCTAACCTTGATAAACACATAATGGAAGTTTAAAGCATTGCTGCTGTAAGAGCATACCTTGACACACAATTATGAGGTGAACAAATGTACTCTGAAACTTCAAGATGATAAATCAATATTAAAGATATTTATGGAACAAATTATTTATTGATATTGGAAAATCATAGTAGTGCTTCTCACAAGTAGCAAGATACCAATGATAATTGAGAACTAAACAGATTTTTAGCAGTGTATTTTACTGCAGAGGCCATTAAGATCAGTGTACAAGGGCTCCACAGGCACTAGGTTCACAGACACTGCAGTGACCACCTGAATAAAACTCTGGGGACCTGGGACCTCAGCAAAGCACATGAGCTGATGCACCTTTCTGTGCACTGTGTGTCAGATATCATAGAAGCAAAGGTTAAAAAAAATAAACAACACCTAAGTTTTAAATTATATTCAAACTAAAGTTATAGCCAACGTTTCAGAGCACTGGTTACATCACAGGCAAAGTCTGTTACACAAATCTTTAGTGGCAAGTGCATCTGCCCAAAAGGCAACATAGTAAGTCAAATGGCCAAAATAAAATTTCTACCTTTTCTCCAATTTTTCCCCCCTCTTTTTTTTTTTTTTTCTTTTTCTAAAAAGGAGGAACATTTTACTGCATCACATCTGCTCTATCAGTTTTGGTCAAATTCTTAGGTATCACACTTGTTCACATGCGCTTCATCTTTCTGAAACTGGTTAAAAATATGACTCACTGCTCAACTTCTAATGACAAAATGAAATATATTTAAATATTTTCAATCCAAATCCCACAAAAAAAACATAACTAAAAAAACAAATCAACCTGAACCTTTAATACTTTACCCCATCAAACAACAGATGAAATACGTATCATGAAATCCAAGATCCTTAACAAGTTCAAACCCATTCTGAAATAGTCATATTTATATATGCTTTTTTACAACAAAAGTGAGATAAATCAAGTAAGACCAAAATTAGTATTTATTTTACTTTATTTATATGATGAGATTCAGGCTTCATAAAAATAAATAAATAAATATTGGCATAATTTTATTGAAGTCAGGAGACTTGTGCAATGCACTAGTTTGATTTAAGACCTACAAACTATATTTTTCTTTTTTTTTTTTTTTTTCTTTAAAACAGGATTTTGGGTATCTTAAGTATTTCTTCTGGCACTAAGTAAAATTACTTCCATTAAAGCAAAATGTGATTTCTTTTCTCCCTAACTTTTTGCGTTTTATTTTATGTCCCTTCTTTTAAAACAAATGAATCTGCATTTAGACCTCACTAATGCTCTGCTTCTCTCTTCAGTAATTAGCATTCAAAATTATGATTACACATCATATGAGATGATTATCATCATGCTTCCTACGTATTAAATTATTATCTCCATGTTTCCTATGTAGCTGCAGCCTCCTAGTAATCAGATTATGACATCCATGGGTTCGAAGTTTTACGAATAAAGCTCAAGTGGTACCACTAGCTCACCACATAGTTTTGAAAATCTCTATCAGCATCACTACTGACTTAACGAAAATGGCAAGATGGGTGAATGGAACACTTTTTCACCTCCTTGCTCAAAAGCACCAGTGTTTTGTTTAACTTACGTTAAGTCATGTCACTAAAGAGTTTAATATTTAAACTACCACTTTTCATATTATCTAGAATTGATGTATTGAGAGAGTCTAAAACCAAGTACACTGACCTCTGGTTTATAAAGTACTTTCATACTTACCTCTTTACTCACTTTGCCATATTTTTCAAAGTTTAATGGTACTATAGTTAGATGTGGACATAGCTTCTTAGCAATGAATCCAGGCATGGCTGCACGTACACCAAATCTCCTAGCATGGTAATTTGAGGTGGACTTAGGAGAGATTAAATAAATTTAGTGTTCAGTAATCAAGTAGTACTTGAAGTTTAGTGTTAAATAACCAAGTTCTAATCATGCATCTCCATGCAGAAATGATTGACATGGCCAAGAGTTTTTATGCATTCTGCCTCCCCACACCTTTCAATTTGTTTACATTCTTTAAACTTTCACCAGTACGCTTTTACTGAAAGATAAAATCCAGCTTACACGGTCTAGTCTAAGAACAGATGTTTCCTCTATTATTTTGGTTGTTTTTTTCCCCACACTTACAAAAAATTCTCTATACAACAGCACTGTTATGTTATTACTGTATGGTTTATTAGGCTTTAGATTTATGCAATTGATTTCTGTTTTAGCTTGATATTTGGCCTTACCAACATACTCATTGATCCCACTGCTATGGGCTTTTCCTTTAGCTCTGGACTGTCTCTCATTTCTACAGCTGCATAGAAGGCATCCATGTCAATGTGTACAATCGTACTGCTAAGGTTACGGCTCTGTTCCAGCTCCGTGACAAGTTTGTCCACCTGAACAGAATAAACCAATAATTGAAAAACTATTAACCTAGCAGAAGTGCAGCAGTACAGGTGATCCTAAAAACTCATATGCATCTGTCACAGCTTAAAAAAACCCAACAAACCCAAACCACATCAAACCAGCACTAACAAAAAAACCCCAATCAAGTTTCTGATGAAACTTGCTGTCAGAGAGAATACTACTGCAGCAAATAGTATGAAAAAAAAACCCCACACAACTATTTTTTCAATAGTATGAAAAAAACCCCAATCCAACAAACAACAAAAACCCACCAATGCAGAAAAAAGATACATCATCTGATTCAGACAGAAACATTGTAACACCACTGAATATGCAGCTTTAGCTACTGTCCTACAAGTTGTTTAAAAAAACCCGAAAACATGCTATTAGAGAATTTCTAACACTCCTAAATTAAGCTATAACACTTCAGAAAATTGGCAGACAGGTGAAGAGAGGACCAACAGCCCACAGGGCAGATCCATTTATCTTGTCAGAAATAAGGTCTCAGATAGGTTCATTTACTGCCAAGTAAACTATTGTTAATCCCTTCATAAAATTCCTCAACATTAGTTACAGAAATCCGTAACATATAAGGCTGGAATGCTAGCAAAACTGCAAGGTGACTTTTAAAGAAAAGCCCATATACAGAAAGTGTGTTTCACTCCAAAAGTTAAAAATGTATTGTCTACTAGTAAACTGTGACCTTTACTCATGGTGTTGTAAGGCAGAGGCCAAGCATACAAGACTTCTCCATGAAATACTTTAATTGTGCTTAATTTGCCCGCATTCTTTTAGCAAAAGATTTGCAGATCACGTGCTTACTCCTGAAATATCTTTCAACTATGAATGAAGTATGAACTGTGAGTGTCACCAGAAAGCACAAGTGCATTGACAGGTGATTTTTCAGGTCTACTGATTTAAGATGACTATGTTGGCAGTACCACACATCATGCTGGAAGCATGAGACAAAATATTTAAAAAAAAAAAAAAAAGTGCTATTAAGTTACGATTATCTAATCACACTAATGACTATGCAAACTTCTATGTAGCAACCTACATAACAAAAGGTTGCTACTTCTAAAAAAAAACAACAAATAGGCAAGAAGTAGTGAAAAAGAACCAAAAAGTTTCACTTTGCTTGCAAGCACAAAGGGACACACATACATTTGTGATGTCAAGGAACCATTACAGAAATGTCTCTGCAATGGATTTATGGTTCTGCAGAGAAAAGTTCACAAGCAAGTTGCACTGTTACATGGAAAGAGTTTCTTTCTTTTTCCCTTCAACAGAGCTGCTTAATAAAAACCATAAAAACCCTAAACCCCATCTTTGGAGCTGAAGACACTTGGACCAAGGCAAGTGGCTATGAAAGTTCTAATTAAATTGCTGAGTAGTGATTTACAAAGTCTTTTCCCTATTTTGTTCCAAACTGATTTGAGGGGTAAACAGCTAGAATGGGGCCTCAAATTAGGCTATTCCATATAGAAGAGTATAGTATACTCCCTGAGGCTAAGAAAACTTGTTTAGACAAATTAAATGCACAGGGGAAAAGCCATACAAATAATAACTAAAAAAAAAAAAAAATGCGGGGCATTTACATTCTTTTCATTACGCTACTAATTCAGCAAGGGTTCAAGTCATGCAGTAAACATGAAAATCATCCTTAAACTCTACTTTACAGATAATTTCCAGGTTACTCTAAAATTCAATTAAAATTCAATTAAAAAATTCAATGCTTAATTAATTTTGTCAATTGTTCCTCTATACATAACTTCTGCGTTCCAATTTATGACACTTATAATAACAAATTTATTTTTGCTTTTTCTCCCCAAATGTATTTCTAAGATGATATTTACTGATCAGCTAACATAAGCATCTAAAGAATGAAGTAAAATTACATTAAACTAATCAGAAATACAAAAATATAACTTGTCAGAAAAAGCAACAGATACAAGTAATATGCCACAAAACAAACCACACCCAGACATACTCAGAGAATTCTGGGCACCTACAAATGTTTCCTTAGTAAGATAAGGAAAGTTACAGAATAGTTCCTTAGAGGCAAGCCAGGTTGACAAGTGTGCTGGGTTTCTGTGGCGGGGTTTTTGGTAGCAAGGGAGGGGGCTACAGTGGTGGCTCCTGTGAGAAACTTCTTGAAAGCTCCCCTGGCTCCAAGTCAGACCCACCCCTGGCCAGGGCCAAGACAGTTAGCGACAGTGGCTGCACCTCTGCAAGCACGTATTTAAGAAGGGGAAGCTGGGAGGGGGTTGGGACTTGTGAAGAGGAGTTATGAAGAAGACATGTATGCAGACAGCAAGGTCAGTGGAAGAAAGGAGGAAGAAGCAGGGGAGGTGCACTGGTGCAGTAACACCTGTATCCCATGGTAAGACAGCAGAGCTGCCCCCTGCCACCCATGGAGGTCCAGGTGAAGCAGAGGCCGACCTGTGGCCTGTGGAGGAGCCCACACCAGGACAGGCAGCTGCACTTAAAGGAAGCCGGGACTCTGTGGGGAGAAGCAGCCCCCATTGTTGTAGTTTAGCACCGGGAGGACTGTGACACACAGGGGTGACCCATGCCAGAGAAGCTTGGGAAGGGCTGCATCCCATGGGAAGGACTCATGCCAGAGAAGGTTTGTGGAGGACTATCTCCAGTGAGGGGGGAGCCATGTGGAACAGGAGAGGAAAGTGCAGCAGCGTTCACCCTCCCTCGCAAGCCAGAAGGATGTGGTGGCACTTCTCACTGTCCCACCTTAAGTGTTAAGTGTTGTCTGTGTTACTGTTTGAATTAAAGTGATGGGGGTTTTTTCCTTCCCCCAATGAATCTTTTGCCTGTGACGGTAATGGGTGAACGACCCCTCCCTGCCCACATCTGGATTCCTGAGCCCTTTTTCTTAATTTTCTCCTTCCTATTACTGAGATGTGAAGGGGTGAGTGAATGGCTGCACGGTGCTCAGTTGCCCTCTAGGCTCAAACCACGACAAGTTTTTAAAAGCAGCTTTCAACTTTCCTTTGAAGATAAAAAGGGATACTAAGTTTTTTTTATTTCTAAACTAGATGAAAAAAAACCCTAAAAGTTACAATTTTTAATTAGAACTTTAATTCTGCTTACAGTGACTTTTAGACAATCAAAAAGTAACCTCTCTTTCTTTCTTATCCCATGATGCAAAATACAAGTTTTCTATCATAAATTGCTTTGTCAACATTAGACAGAAAAGATTATTCAAAATCTGTTTTATATTTGTAAAAGTGTTTGACAAGGTAAAGAGGTAACAAACAGTGATACCATTTAAGACAGTAGTAACTATTTACAGAATAAACATCTGGGATAAAACTCACATGGATAAAAATAGCAAACATTAGTACAGCAGTTTGCAAGTCTAGTAGCAGATGAATAATTTTTCAAGTATTATTCACAACTGCTGAATTTCAAGCAACTCCACTCTGGGTTGTCGGGACAATCTAACTCTGTTACAGAAAAGTTTTCAAAAATTAAGAACTCTATGATACTATAGAGTATATAATTTGCCTTAAAAGATGACTACATTCATTAGGAAAACTTCAAATGACCTGTCACATCTAAGATTATTTAAAAAAAAAAAAAAAAACAACAACAAACAAAACCCCAAATAAATAGCTGTACATAGAAATGGCAGTTTTAAGAAGATTTACAAGTATTTTCTAATCTCCAATATTTGAAAAAACAATGGTGGTAAGTGTCCTTCTGCAAGGAAGGTCTTCTAAGGAAAACTGTAAAAATATGAGAAATACCCTCACAAATTCCTTGGCAGACACACACTGTAGTGCTGAGAAAGGCAGCATTTATGTTGCAGATTCTACATGTTATTCATTTTATTCTTTCCATCAGGTGAATAGGATTTTGTCCAACAAATTCAATAAATGGGGATTTTTTTGTTTGTTTCTTTTTACCTTACATCAACTGCCAGCTTAGGAAGCCCTATCTGAGCCTTTAAACCTGATCTGCAGATGAGAACTTGCAGTGTTCGTAGAAGTAGATATACGGATACATTTGTAATTCTGGAGTACCTCCTACTTACAAATGTTAGGAGAACCAATTCTCTCCTGGTATATCAGAAGGTGGTACTAAAAAGAGGAGTTAAAGAACTCAATAGACAACAATAAAGAAGAAGATAATGAGAGCTGACTATATCTGTATCTGAAGACCTAAAGAAGCTGATTAAACAACACACAGCACATACTAAGAAAAACAAACAGGACAAACAAGGCTTGCAAGGTTAAATGTGGAGATAGTGGCCTGGGGAAAAGTAGCTGGTGCGTAAGAGACAGGAAAAGGGGGAGGCATTATTTAGGGTATCAGACACAGACAGATAAAGACTGGCTGGGCCAGAAGACTGGGGACTTCAGTGGGGACTGCAGGCAGAGACAAATACTGCTTTGGAAAGAGGACTGATGGCAATCTGGGGGTGTGGGACAAGAAAAGGAAAATTTGGGATAGGATAAAAAGAAAGGTGAGGAGAGACCAAAAGGGTCTGAATTTGTGATGAAGAAATGAAGCAACAACAATCATGAACCAGAGCTTATATGCATACAGAGGATGCAACCAAAATCCAGGATTTTAAGATGTTTTTATAGCAGCAAAGATCTAAAATTAGCCAGCAAAAATGTGTGCATGTTATCCCCATCTAACAGCAGTTCTCATGCAGTATGGCAGCTGACTTAACAGCTACTGCCCACTGCAAATAAAGACAACTGCTATTTGAGCAAGTGGCATAAAGATTTCAAACATGGGGTTTGAAACTCAGGTCTCAGTAAGACCCACATGAAAGAATTTATTTTTTTCTCCTGTAGAAAGAAATTTTCATACAGAACATTAAAAGAAAATAAACTTATGTTGCAAGATCAAATATTCAAGTTCAAGGAAAGACAGCATGAGGGTAGTCAAAGCAATTAAAATTTATTGGCTTGCACTATATATTCTTTAACTACATAACCATACACTAATTTCATAGGATCTGTGTCATTCACATAATTCATTTTATAAGAAAGACTGTTCTTTGTAAAATGAAAAGTTCTGTGGTGAATGAAGGATGGAAATGGAAGTATTTTTTCATAATTAAATGACTTAGAAGCTACCTCAGAAAACTAAAAAAAGCAACTGGACAAGCAGAAACATAGCTGATTCATGCTGAAGATTAACTAAAACCATTTGAGGCATACAGGCTTATAACAAAATTTTCAGAGGTACTCAGTAATTGCAAGCTTGTCTGGGCACAAATTTGAGACACTGGCATTTAATTTACAGAGTGATTTGCAAATCTGCAATGAACAAAAAAAGATTGTACACCAAAGCTCAGGACCTATAATACTCACAATGGCATTCAAAATTAATGGATGTGTTTAATCCTCACGTGCTTCAGCTTCTCATCTACAAAGCAAAAATATCACCCTACTTTGCTGGAGTATTGAAAGAATAATTTAAAGAATTCACACTGTGTAGTATACAACATAGAAAAGTCTATGAGGAAGTCACTAATTCTGCATTCAAAGTTGGATTATACTAATGTACAACAAAGCCTGGGGCCACCCACTGAACAACAAGGACAACAGTAAATACTGAATAATTGCCCACTCAGTGAACACTGTCTGCACTGTGTGCTGAATGAAGCAGGAATACTGTTAGGGAAATATAGCAAGTAATCATGTAATTAAGGACTGAATCACAGTACAAATGAAAAAGGAAAGGAATTAAGTTTCTACAAGCAACTTTAATTCTGTTGTGTCTAAGAACATTTAGTGTGCAACCTTAGGGCCATTGTTTTCTTTTAACAACCTTTCATACACAGTAATACTTTGGAGGCAATTATCTATCACGAGTATTTGAGAATAGACATAGCCTCTTTGCCTTTCTAGTTCAGGACACTTATACTTCTTGTGACTGCTTGCCATGATGATTTTTTTCATTAATTAGCATAAATAAGGAATAAATCACGTCCAGAAGAGTTGACAACTGTGATCCCCCTCATCCCACTGCAGGCCACTGAACACAAATATACATACATTACAAAAACAGAAAGTAAACTCAAGATTGATATACTTATTAACAAGGTATTTAACAAAACTTGTACATACCATAGTGACATTCCTTCAAACTGACCAGACTTGGAAGAACAGGAATTACTTTGCTTCATTTTACTCATTTACAGAACATTTCAGAGTGATTTTACAATCTATTCTTCTAGCAAGTTTTTATTATGATTACGTCCTCAATACAGTGTGTACTTTTATTTGCACGACTAACATCAAAATAGTAGTTAACACTGTCCTTATCACCAGAATTTAATGCCATAAACTGGAACACATCAAAACGTTTATCATTCACCATTTACTCCAAAGAGTCTTTACAAGATTAGTACCTGTAGCTGTGCTTTCAAGAGCTCTTGTGTCGTAATTTTCTCTTTTAACTTCATCATTTTTTCAATTCGTTGGTTAACTTGTTGATCCTTTTTAAGTTCATTTTCATAAAATCTAGAACCCTGGAAGAAAATTGCAAAAACACTAAAGGTTTTTATATATTGTTTCCTATAAACAACAATATTTGATCTTTAAATACAGAAAACTTAAAACACAGTAACAGTTTCTAATGCATACTTTGGATTTTCATATAAATGATTCACAAGAGACCAGTGGTGCTTTATATCTCTCTCCTCAACTGACACAAAAATATCTCTCCTTCTCCGATCCCCTGTACTCAGATGAGTATAAGGGACTAGTGAGAGAACTTACGGTGTTTACTCGTTCTAACTCTTGACAACAAAAATGCCAAAATAGTAGATAAAAGTTGAACTATTCTTTGCAATACCTGCAAGATAAGGAGTATAACACTCTAAAAAACCAGTGACTTAAGCCTTTTGCCAGACTTCTATATAGTTTAATCTACATAGAAGTAAATAATGACATTGTAAAAGTCAAATCCACTTATAATGTTGAGTATTTCATTGACCATTTAATCTTGAAGGATATTGTAGTATTAGAAGCTATCTGGAAGAGGATGATGCAAAGGAAATGGGTACAAAAAAGCCCTCTTGCTCTCAAGTATGTAATTGGTCCTTCAAGAAGAGGCATGAATAAAAGGAGATGTAACGAAAACATAAAAAGACAACAGGTATGTAGAGAACATATAATGTGACTTCCCTTCCTGACTCATAACAAAGAAAAAAGGGCATAAAATGAAATAGAAAAGAAAAAAAAAAATCAGAAATCAGGAAATAAAATATTTTTCTTCCAACATCTGCTTAGCTTACAAGAGAGATAACATTTGCAGAAAGAGGGAGTATCTTTCATTGAACCACCTGATAAAATCTGCAAAAGTGGACAAATTTTTAGCTCAAAGCCTTTGACTACCAAACTGCCACTGATGCCAAAAACTCAGCCATAGTCAAATAAGAATCAGGCATTTATGAAAGAAGTAAATATATCCATTTTTATAAATTGATAAAAATGATGAATGGCAAGGCTGTAATGTGTCATATCTCATTGCCTAGAAGAAATCTCTAATTAGAAGAAATTATGGTGTGTTTTCTTCCAATATCAGACATGCATCTCATCTTTTCACCCTTCTGCAATCAAACATGATTTGTTGAGACTCACTGAAAGAAATAGACATCAAAACGATGTGGGAAGCAATGCAATACTTAAGACTGTTACTAAGCTGTAGGGGTTTTTATGTCTCTTGCAGTATTTCGCAGCTGAAATGCTATAAATTCTTGTAATACAATTTTGAGTAGTGTTTGTAGGTATAATTTTAAAGACCAAAGAAAAACAGTCAATGCCTCTTTTCAAATTTCTTGAGCTGTATCTGCTGTTTAAATTCTTCTGCTTCTTTGACAGAAATATATTCTAATACATAGATGCTTGCATATCAGTTTTGAAAGCCTATTTTACAGTTCATTCTATTTCATACCAGGAAATGAAGCAGTAACTGTTCTGACGAAACAGTTCATCCAAATATCTTCATTAGGGATATGTCTGATAGAGCAGTAAGTTTTCAAGAAAGAGTGAACAGAATAAGTAGAAAATAAGAAAATATCTAATCAGTAAGGGCCTTGATAGCATATAAAGCATCATTAGTGAAAACACAAGCAAAAAAAAAAGTTTGCCAAATAAGAGCTGTTTGTAGAACGTTTTCTGCTCTGCCCACCCCCCTCATTTTACCACAGAGCAATAGTAGCCAACACAGAATTCATAAGCAAAATATCAAGCACATAACCTAGGGCCATAGTGACATCAAATGAAATACACATTTGTGCAAGGAAAAGTAAGAAAAAACAGAGCTGCTGAAATAAAGTGTTATCCCTATATAGTTCTATATGAAGACTGTCCAATAACAAGTAAGAGGACCAATATTTCAATGCTTTGTGGATTTGTGGGGTCCACTGTCGATCTTTGATACAAAGTTGCATGCTACTGGGGACCTCACTTGAATACTGACAAGACAGTCAAGAAGAGAGGCAGTAAGCACAAAGAAATTCTACTGAAAGTACTAGAAAAACCTGATTACATCAAATTCAGCAGTTACATGAAGGTAACTGATAGATGTAGATCTGCTTGGCTGATTAAAGATGGGGCAGGCAAAATAAATGGAAAAGGTTAAACAAGAGGCCTAAGGAAGCCGAAACCTTCACAAACACCTCTGGAGAATGTTGTGATATTTATGTATTGCTTCCAGCAAAAAGGGAACTCCTAAGGACTCAGTTGTGTCCTTCCATGTCCCTGTGACAAATCCAACAGTAACCCATGGTACCCTAGGCTACAGTCCCTCCCCTTCCCACACATGCATTTCTTTTTAGAAGATGCCCTCAATTTACACGAGGGATAAAATCTGGGGGAGGAAGAAGGCCTTAATATACTGAACAACAGGTAAAGCACCAGAAAAAGTGTAATCAAACCAACCTTGGTTGCTTCCATGATGATTTTATTGATCTTCTCTTTATCCAAACCTTGCATTCCAGCTTTGTTATCATTGAGGCCCATTCTAAGTAGAACTCCATCACTGCATGAGTTGCTACCAACTTTTCTCACGTTATCCATTGTACTTCTTGAAAACAAGTACCTCTTTTAAGACTTAATACCTGAAAAAAATAATTTGAATCATATATTTGTTTCTAAGTTCCAGCTGAAAAATACAAGAAAAAACCCATGGAATTAATTTGCTGTATTTACTGAATAAACATTTTATACTTATTCAGAAAACAACGAACTTATCACAAATAAGCAGACTTGTATTCCTGTAAAGTGGATGACCTGCCACACTCACCACGTATAGCTACCTGTAACTCTATCAGTGTTTGGAAACAGTAAGACTTTACATTTTAATTAACCTAAAAACATACTCCATACTCATTTAAAAACTCCCTTACAGAAATAATTGAGCACCACCAACTTCAGGTAAGGGCTAGTACATTACACATGCACATGCTATTTATGCCGATATGTTATCCTGTCAGATGAAACAATACTGCCTTAAACACTAAATACTGCTCGCTAGATTATTATGTTAAAAGAAAAGGAATTACTTTTAAATTGCAGAAGACCATTGTTCATTTAATCCTCGCTCCTGCTTGAGACAAGCCATAGAATCTTTCCCAGTAATTTCTAGCTCAAATTCAAAACTTTTCTGTTTGTGTTAAAACTCATCTTTTAGAAACAGATGGCTCCAATTAGAAGTTTTGAACAAAACCCTGTTGTTTTGGTCAGGGTAAAATGAATGCCTTTTTTTTTTTTTTTTACATTAATTTGTAGACCCATGGTATCCAACTAACAGAACTTACCAAAACTTTACTACTAAATTACTTCCATCAGTAATTTCTTACGTATAAAGTACTTCTGATAATATGTGAACTTCTGACATCTTCCCTTGCTGCTTATGAATGTAAACAGCTGAACCCTTCGATAGGCTCTAATTATATGGTAAAATGTCTAGTTATTAAACTGATCTTAAAAAACTAAAGAAAGCAACTTTTACCGTCTATAGCATGAACCTGTGATCTTAATTTTGTCAGATTAAGACAAGCAGAATCCAAGTGTGATACTGACATAAATTACTTAGCATGTATATATTACTGAAAAAGCATAGAGAAAGACTTTCTTCCTACCCCCAAGTTGCTGACTCATGAACCACTTCATCTTTACTCTCATGCAGGAAGCACATTCACTTCTAATTCTCCCCTTTAAGCTGCTCCCTGTGAGAGGATCCCTTCCTGTTTGGAGGAGGCACACCCTTTCAGGCACATACAGCAGCTCTATTAAACAGCCACAAATTACACAAATCTAGAAGTGTTACATTTTTTGTTTAAATGCTGCTTTCGCACTCCAGGACTTAAGTGGGCTTCCTGAGCAAACTGAAGAAGGTAATTATGTATTTTCGCATCTAGAGATGAATTTCTGCTATTAAAGAACAATGTGGGCAACTTGTTAAAATTAACGGTGGCAGTGTTTGTATTCTCCTAAATATCCTCTCCTGAAACATAATAGCCAACTGAAGAAAAGATATTAAAGACACCTTTAAAAAAAAAATTCTGACAAAAATATCCCAATTTTAATCATATTCTATTAATTCAGATTATTATTTATGATGTGTTCTGAAGATGTAAGATCAGGTAAGTAATGCTGTTTATCTCCAGGTTGTTGTATTTCAAAGAACAGAAGGTGACGTAGAGATCAGAACTCTTCTCTTGACCCTTTAGTAACACTTGAGCTACTATAATGGCAATTAGGAACGGGAATGGCTTTATAGCTCTTATGTGTATGTATCAAATAAAAGACCACAATGACAAACATTTTCATAAGTTTTTCACTTGGAATAGGACAGTCTTACAGTTAACACATACACTTACCAGAACAAGTTTGCTAGACTTCAATCAAAGGAAAAAGCACTGCATCCCACACAATATTTCAAGTTTCGTCTCAATCTCTGGTAAGTAATGGGCACAATTCCCAATAAATACTTTCCTCAAGGTAAATACCCTTCCACTATTCCCTCTGATTCTTTCATCACTCCTTCCCTTCCAGAGGCTGCAATAACACAAGATTGATTCCATTTCCTATTCCCGTCTCTCCAACATGTTTTAGCTGTTCCTTATTCTTGAAAATATCTTTATCCCTAGCATACACAAACCCTTCCCCTTCTTCATTCAGATCATACTTAAAGGTTTAGTTTTACTGCAGAGGCTTTACACACTAATTCATCTCAGTCAGAAAAAGCCTTCTTCATCACACTGTTGTTATATATCCAGCACGAAAATATTACCATGACAATACCAGTCATGGAAAAAAATAATTGTCTTTCATAAATCTCATAAATGGTGGCCTCCTGATATGTTTTATCTTTTCAGCTTCTTGTGTGGAACAAAATACATTGTTAGTATCAGATGATAAAGTGTATAAATATCAAATAATACCTTAGCTGGTTATGTGAGGACATGACACTAGTTCTCCATCAAAGCTTAAAAGTGTACAGAAGGGAAAGCATGAATAAAAACTGATACAATTTTCAGCCACTTAACATGAACAGAATCTGAAGATTATCTTGGTTTCAGATTAAGAGGCCTGAAACAAAAAACCCCAAACCTTACAATATTTAACATATTGAAATGTATCACAAAAGGTACAATACGACAACAGATACACACTGTCAGATAAAACCAGTGGACCATTTGCCACAGACAAAATAAAAATGGAAATACTTAAAGGAAACGCAGGAGAACCACAGTTTGAAACACTATGCAAAATGTGAACAAAATGTCATTGTAGAAACTGGTAAGGACAAGTAGTAACAGTTTTAATGGAAAATCGACCTAGAGAAAACATTTAGCTTGTGATGACACAATCTTATAAATTTTTTGTTAAAACGAGTTGGAAGAAGAGAGTAAATGTTTAGAGTCTAATGAATCACTAACTCAGAACAGTCTAGGCAGTGACATATTTTTGGCATGCTGTCACCTCAAGAAGCTGCTGCAAGATTGACCCGTTTCCTCTAACAGAACACATTAAATCTCTCTCAGAATCATACTGAGTAAGTAGGGTGTGAAATCAGAGAAGTCTGTGAAGGCAGTTTACGATTAGATACTGTCCTATTATTCCTGTGATTTGGGAATGGGGGGGAAGAGAATAGGAGTATCATCTATAAGTAGAGGAGGTAACTTTCCAATTGCTACTGGAAGGACTTTTAAAAGTAAAGAGGAATACTTTGGCAATGGACATCAACAGTTAATGCAAACCAAAAACATGCAGAGGAATCACAGAATAGCATTACCATGTTGGAAGCTTTGTTAGTAACCTGGGATGCTTACAAGTGTTAAAAGACCACTAATAAAACTCCAATCAAGCTCTTCTAGCAGCAGGCACAGAAACTCAACTGAACCAGTCCAACAGGGTTATATAGTACATGAAAGTATCAAGAGTCTGAAACAGAAGTAAAATCAGAACAACTATTTCCAGTCTTTACTCTGCCTTTATGCAAATTCAGCATATTTTTCATCAGTTGACTGAACTATCCTGACGGAAATGGCTTGCATTTGATACTGTGCCACTCCTTCAGCCTGTCTTCGGTAAAAATCCTCCAATTCTGGCAACAGAAACCCTGTATGTTGTGTGAAAACTTAAATGCCTTCACATTGTTATTTTCATGCAATAAAAGAATACACAAGAAAGAAAAAACATTTCTAAGAATATTCAGTTCAACTGACATAATGTTATTATGCAGGTTATTAACACTTGCAAAATATGCTAACAATTTGCCTTTTATTGATAGTATTAACAACTTGTTGCAAATAAATATTAGGACTGGAAAATGACACCGGTATGGAAAAACTTGAAATATAATTTATTTACATACTGAATTATGATTTGATGCAAATAAACTGTGTAACAATCCTCACAAAGAAAACAAAATTCTGGCATCTTTGCTATCACAGATACTCATGCCAATAGTGAGATCCAAAAAAGTTACTAAGATACACAACTGTCTACTTCTCCCAGAGCTCAAGCACTAAGACACATACTGCAGATGTAGAGGACCATCTTTTACATCCCAATTGCCCTGAGTAAGTCTCCACAGTGTGTAAAAAAAATACCAATGTTTCAAATAGCAACACAATTAATAAAGACTCTTTTTTATATGATTTTTTTAATTATTATTTTTAGGATGGCTAAAACAAGGATCTAAAATAGTTTCTTTGCTTTCTGTAAAACTTATAAAAGCCTCCAATAACATTTCATCAGAATCTGCCACGTGATCTATTGTTGTATGACCCCAAAATAAACTTCCTCTTTTCCCTCAATTAACGTGTCTTAGAGATTCTGTTATTTCAACTCTTCTGTTCTTACTTTAGTAAGAACAAAACAAAATTATAACAGGTAACTTTACATACAAATGTAGAGAATGAATGAAGGGATAGCTTCAAGAATCCTGTCACTACATAGGCTGCAAAAAATCACTATTACCCTTAATTTCAGTGACAAGGTTAAGATGTTAACAGGAGTCCTGTAAAAGCACTGAAAGCACATTAAACAAAGTTAGGACTTACTTCGCCCAGTTTTAATCACAAAGGATTAATTATCAGGCTTTTAGCTAGAATCAAGTGTGGTGTAGGTACAGATCACTTTATGTTCAAAAGATAAATGCCTCTGAAGTTAGTACTATACTAGAAACATCAAAGAGAATAAAAACATAAAAAAACTTTCCTTTCAAATATCAATATATATACATATGAAATCCCTGTTTTTTTTATTTTTCTTATGAAAACTTTACAAATGACCCATTATCAAACACTACTAAAGTTCAGAGCACTCAGTGCAAGTGTGGGATGGAAAAAATTTCTTCTGTAAAACAATTATTAAAATAATCATATCCACGTAGAAGATAGTTGTGAATAGTATGAAACTCCTAGAACATTTCATAAACGGTTATAAGATCCTTAAAAGTCAAATATCAAATATTCTGCTTTAACATATCTTCAGTAAAAGGGTAACTGAGTAGTTTAAGACTCTAAAAGAGGCAATTTCAGTCACTTCAAAAATACACACTTGTCATAAAACTTTGCTGGGCCACCACCTCACCATAATACACACT